CTGCAGTTTTGTGTCTGAACTACTACAGATTAGACATGCCAGCGACTGACAACTCTGAACCGCACCACATAATTGATTGTCACCCCAAGATCAATTTTATGTGATCAACTTACTTTTGTTTTAGTCAATTCATTTAATTGTTGAGTGTGTGGCAGCTCTTCAAAACCTTTCACGAAGTGGAAAGAGACAAAACTAAAGAAAAAGATCATCAGCACTGCTTGAAAAAGCACAGCACCACATCTTCTGGCTCTCAGTGATGATTGTATTGTAGAAAAAAAGTGATGGCTGGACTGACATATAAATATTGTTTCCTTTTTTTATTTTAACAGAGAGCTTTCCAAATGTTGCCGCTCATGAGATACAAAATGCACTTTTTGAAGAAACCAAATCAGTTTTAAGGAACAATGTTCTTAACTCGTCTCAAAGGTACAATAATCGTTTTACAATTTATTCCTTACAAAGATGCTTTCTTGATACATTTGCCTTACAATAAAGAATAGTTTTAGAAACGAAGTAATCTGTAAAGAGGATGTTTCCGTCCACACCACTCAGGACAAACCAAGGAAAATTTGATCTTTAAGGTCGGCACACACGAGGGGACTAGTCCCTGCGACTAGTCCCAGCGACCAGTTTCATGCGACTAGTCCCTTCGTGTGAACTACACATTTCTGTGGTCGCAGGGACCAAAATTTGGTCCCTGCGACTGGTCGCACGAATTCAAACTTGTTTGAATTCGTGCGACCAGTCGCAGGGACTTGTCGCATGAAACAAATGTTTGTCCCCTCGTGTGAACTGTTTGTGCGACCAGTCCCTGCGACTAAACGGTAAATAAGCCAATCACGGGTCAGTATGATGCGTGACTTCCGGTATTTGTAAACATTGCAGTCTCTATGAATTTTCCCTGAATTCTAGATTTCTACAACTGAAGAATAAAAAACTATTTCTAGTTTTGTAAACATATACAGATGTCTTGGAGCCGTTTTGATGGAATTTTTACCCTATTTGACTCTGTGTCTGTTAAAAATAAATAAATAAATAAAAAAACGGAACGTAAAAACATGAATAATTCGACTGAATAAGTGTAGTTCATTTGCATTGATGTTTAATAGTGCTACAAGTTAAAAGTTGCCAAATTTTCATTGTTTTCGTGTAACGCCCCAGACTAAGAAACATCTTTTGCCTCTTAATTTTCCTATGTTCTTGTGCAATTGAGTGCCCTCGTGTGAACACCTTAAGGGACTAGTCCCTGCTACCGGTCCCCTCGTGTAAACCCTTCAAAGACTTGTCGCCGGGACTAGTCGCAGGGACTAGTCCCCTCGTGTGTGCCGACCTTTAAGATAAACATGCACAGCCGCGGCAAAGGGAGCACGTGACCATATTGACATTAGGATAGCTAACTTTACCTCAGACTTTACTTCAAGTAAAGTTTCAAGATATGTAGTGATGTATAAGAGTACTCCCAAAGTGCTGAGATCAGTAAACGAATCGCTATATCATGACGAAGACTACTGAGTACTAAGTTTCGAGAATCATTTTTTTCAGATGTGATGGACGTGCGTTTGATACTCTTCGACCCATTAGATGTGAAGTTGATTTGTTCAAAAGTCTTCATGGGTCTGCGTTATTTCAAAGAGGAGAAACCCAGGTTTGCCTCTCCCTAAGAATTCATTTCGAGTTTCGTGAGTCAGAACCATTTTCAATTCATTTTATCTTGACAGCAATTGTAGCAAACAAATTAACCCACTCCTAATTTTCTTCGAAAGGTGTTTTGTACGGCAACACTTGGTTCTCTTCGTTCTGCAAAACAACCTGACGCCGCTGTACAGGGGGTCGGGTAAGGATTTGACGCTAATTCATTAAAACAATTTATGTTAACTTTACCGATTATGAGTTTGCTCTCGGTTTACTTTGATGTTTCCACTAGAAGAAACGAAGCTCACTAGAGATTGTTTAGCCGTAATATTTTAGCTTCTTAGAGAAAGTTTACAATAATACCGGCATATATCATTCTGTTCTATTGAATGGTTACGTTCGATTTTTTGGGTGTTGTATGTTTAGAGTCGTTTTTCTTTTCACAATTCGGTAATATCTTTTTAATAAAATTTCGTTTCTCTTGTTGTGCAGCGACGTCAAAGAAAGACCTTTCATGCTTCACTATGAGGTAATTGTTGAAAGCGCTGTTGTTCCCTGAACTGGGATCCAGATCTCACTGCTAAAAAGAAGCTGTAAACTGCTTTTTTAATTGTTGTTTATTTCAGTGTTTTGACATTTTTGTTCACTCACTACTTATTCACCGCTAATTTTTTTTTGGTTGATTACAATCAGTTTCCACCATTTTGTGTGAGTGAAATAGGGTTTGTCGGTGGCTCAAGTCGACGAGAAATTGGTCATGGTAAGATGTACATTTTGCAGCATTGATTTTGTAGAAAAAGTCGAATAAAGGTGATATTTGCCTTAGATGTTTATTTGGTGTAATGTAACGCTGTGGGTGTCCCCTTTAGATAAACAAGAACTGGCTCCATTTGGAGAGAAATATGCTCGGAAAACTTAGTCCATTGACAAATTCGGATAACATTTTCCCGCTAATGGATGGTGTTGTGTATTTTTAATTTGTGAAAAATCAAACAGTTTTGTCCGTTTATTTCAGGTAATTTAGCAGAAATGGCTTTAGAACCAGTTGTTCCTAAGGATTTTCCATTCACAATCCGACTTACATCTCAAGTATTAGAATCAAATGGTAGGCAAGATAAGATACTCCATCCTTAGATGTGGTTTAACGAGTAACACATGTTACAAAATACGGTTTTCTTATTGATTTCTTGCTGATAAAAGTCGTCACTGCAGTTTTGTGTCCAACGCCTGTATTGTGGTCTGTTTCAGGTTCATCATCTTTAGCATCCGTTTGTGCTGGAAGTTTGGCGCTGATGGATGCAGGTTGTTCTTTCCTTCCATAATTATCACAATTATCTTAATTGTTATTTTTATCGCAATTGTTATCTTTCCCCCGTTACCTTTTCATTGATTTTCATCTTTATTATTGCAGTTTACGTTATTGATAATGCCACTGTTATTGGCAAAGCTTCTGTTATTATGATCGTGATCGGCTCTAAAATTATCGTTACCACCGTTACCGTTAGAGATAACGTTATCACCATCGTTACCATTCCTTAGTGAATAATTGTTTTAGCATACTCTGGAAAACAGGGGAATACTTGCATATGAACATATGGCATTTTTAAACCCTTAAAATTTTCTATTTTTCATTTCGAAGGGATTCCAATCACTCGTCCTGTTGCAGGGGTTGCGTGTGGTTTGATAACAAGCAGTGATGCAGAGGACCCGGATAAACCAGACATAGAAAAATATTGTCTCCTGACAGACATCTTGGTAAGAAACGTACTGAGAGTGAGTATGGGGTTGAAATTGATATAGCTTACTCAGAACAATTTGAATATATCAACAAAGTTGAAGTGGTAAAAGGAGCTACGTGATTGGTGGGAATCAGCAGCTCCTTTTTCTGCCTTTAAAAGCACACACAACCCACAATTCCCCTATTCGCTCTGACGAAGGGCTAACGCTCGGAACGTCAGCTTTTATAATCTTAACGGTGGCCAATTTACCACTTCAACTTTGTTGATATATTCAAATTATTTCGTTACCCCCCCCGACGCAGTCCCAAACAGTTTCTTTAGTAACTATCAGCCTTTACTCAGAACAAGTTTGGAAACGTTCGTTGTCTCGCATTGTTGTAATAACACATGTTTCATCAGGGCATTGAAGACTTCATAGGTGATATGGACTTTAAGCTTGCTGGAAGCAGAGAAGGAATAACAGCTCTTCAGGTACCTTCCCTTGTCTCTGCTAGTCTCTCTAATAGTATTGTGTTAGAAATCAAATGAAGCTTTGGCGACTTGCGTGTTTTGTCTGTGATAGGCTGATTTCAAGGTACCAGGCCTTCCGTTGCATATTGTGGAAGAGGCAGTCAAAAAGGCAACTGGTAAGTATTAGTAGTCAACAAATAAGGAATAAGGATCAACTTAAGCCGGACAGGGAATTCTTTAATTTGGAAATATGTAACTATTATATATGTGAATGGCAGACTGAAATAAGTAACCGAACAAACTTCTTAGCGATTTGTGACATTGACGGAAAGCCAATTTCTCCTCAAGTTTTTTTTTCTCGGTAGTTGCACAACTGTCACTCTGATTTTCTAGACCGGAAGAATTTTAGTGACGTGAGTGTTCCTCTTTGCGGCCATTACGGAGACCAAACCGCTCTTACCTCTCCTTCAAAATTAAGACTCGTTTTTAAGACGCCCAGGAAGGCTCTTATGTAGCATTTTAAACGGCAACTCTTGTTTACGTGTTACTTAACTTTCCAGCTGATCGCATGAAAGTTTTGGATGTGATAGAAGAATGCCAAAGCAGGCCGAGAAAAATACCCAAAGACAATCTGCCAGTTCAAGGTGAGCTTTTTTTTTTAACCCAACTCAGTTAAAACGGTATCGTTTATCGCTGATACAATAAACGATCATTATCATCATCACAGTTTAGTCGTCCGCTGACCAGCGCTTTGGGGAAGGTGTGAGATATCATGATAGTTGAGTTTGTCAACTTTTCTCGTGTTCTTGCTGTTGATGAAATTTTATCTTTCTGCACACTCAGGAAATGTAGTTCTTTCTCGTCATCAAGTTAAAAAGCTGTTTTTCGCTGGTGGACTACTATTAAAAAATTTGCAGGAAGAGACAGGTTAGTAGCAAACACTTAGAGAAAGAAGGAAGGAAACCCAATGCCGCCCATAAGAAATGACTTTCTATGAACCAGAGTCAACAAATTTTCAGCAAACGGTACAATTAACCCACATTTATCTTGTACAAAATGACTTTAAACATGGAACCAGCGTTCGGCATTCTGTTTAGGTCACAGTCTTTGTACTAGATCACGGATATTTGTCAAATGTTATCCATGGTAATTCATTGAGTACCGCATGGCTAACGTTTGAATAAGGTATTCCTGCAAATATTTGCCTGGGTAAGGAAATTTAAACCTCCAGGTCGATCATATTTACAGATACACTAAATTCATTTTCTTTTATCTTTTCTTGTACCTCAAGTGCTATTCACTATAGGCTCGATTACCAGTCGCTGTTCGGGAACCGGAGCCCGTGCTCCTCGAGAGCAGCGGAAATCAAGCCTATATTGACTAATATAATGGATTTGTGGTTTGAAGGTACAATCGTCACGCGAGTTGAAGAAGATGAGTTTCATGTGTTTGCTTATAACGCCAAAGCTTTCCAGGAGGTTTTAGACAAGATGAATGAAATTACTGCAGGTGCCGATACAGAAAAGGTATCAGAATCTTGGCTCCTTGAGTTGAACTAGTTCATGTATTTGAGCAAGTCATGTGCGAGATGTGTTACAGTTGGTTGGGAAATAACTGAGCGATTTCCTCTTGTTTTTCTTTGAGTTGTTATTAACGACTCGAACATAAACGTTCTACAGATTTTTGCAGTTAAATTTAGTAATAATGACTTGAGCTCTGAGTAAAAGGCCTGTTGTTTTTCACCAAAATTTCAAATTATGAAACTTTTTCAGTGCTATCCTGATGCTCTATGATGAATTATGTTCAGTCGATATCATTTTCACTACTTACTCAGTTATGATTTGGGTTCAGGAAAGCATGGACTTAGGTGAAATAGAAACGTGCTAAACAAGAACCGCGGAGCAACGCAGTACACTTTCTAATCGAAACTGACTAACATTCTGTTAAATCGCACCTCAATCGCCATAACTTGATGTCGTAAAATCTTTTTTTTTATTCAACACCTGTAACAGTTTTTTCTTTCACCTTCCCTAATATTCTTACGTCTATTTTTGCTTTTATTTCCTTCATACAGCACTGGACAGAATCTCTTGAAGTTGGAGTCACGTATAAAGCAACTGTTATGGAGTTTAGGTGAGAGAAAAAACATACCTTTGACAGCCTTCTCTTTCTCCTTCATCAACTCGTCAACTCTTCACACTAATCTCTTTTCATGCTCTTTTGTAGCGCCGTTTGTTTTCCTGCGATTAGGCTTCAAAAGGTGTGGTGCTAACTCAATTTTATTTCCATCCAGGGAGTACGGGGTTATGATAGAGCTTTTGCCGGACACACCCAGCGTACTTTTACACAATTCAGAGATATCTCACGATACGGTAAGTATACGCATGCGCTTTATTACACGTCGTTTTGTATTTCCGTTCCAAAATCTTTAGCTGCATTATTACGCGAGTAAACCGATAGGAAGTGCGGTTTACTGCATTTATGATTAAGCCATCGGTTTACTGGTCATGATAGCCTGTATAGTTGTCTGCGGCGAAGCTTAACCGCTCGTTTTCACAGCTCCGCCGCTTAATGCAAACTAGACTAACCGTGGTACAGTAAATTAGCTGGTTTTTACCGGTAAGAGCATATGTGATATTTCAGTTAGCAGTTTTTCACAACCCTATACTTAGTGATCGTTTATATATGTTCCTCAAAGTTTCACTGGTCGCTTGAACGAAAGGTTTCATTCTCCAGGAATGTTGTTTTTGAAATAGTAAAATGAACTAACTACTTGCTTCTCAGGTTTGATATTGATATTCTCAGTGTTTTTAGTAAGTATACGTCAGCTGACTTTTTTCCCGAAGGATATTTCTTATAACATAGAAGCTCATTTACTGTTGTCTGAGCTGTTTTTCTTTCGTTTACTTTTTCAGAATCATCAAAACACGAATGAATTTAAACTAGGACAAATCGTTGATGTTGTGTATCTTGGAAAAGACCCGTTCTCTGGAAAAGTTCGTGTCTCAAGAAAAGCACTTTTTCCGAAACCTCAAAAAATCATGAACCACAAAGATTTTATCGAAAAGTTTCTCAGTCCTTCAAAAAATAAAAGGAATTGATTCGCTACTTATCAACTTTTTCGTTTAAAAGCTTTAATGAAGATTTTCTTGGTACAGTCAGCGGCAGTTAGATACAACAGACGTCAGTCCTGGATATTTCTGAAGAGAAATTTGGTGTTTGGGTCGGGAAATTTTTCCAAAAACTTGGGGCACTTGCAAAATTTCCTTTCAAAAAAACTGCTTAATGTAGTCCGGCTAAAATCCTCCACAAAGCTTTGTAAAGTTGATTGGTGAGAGTATGAGTTTAGATAAAGCACTGTATAAATGCTACATCACCTGTGTGGATCCCTGGTCACTGAATACGTGTGTGTTCCCCTTTTTCGCCAGTAAACTCCGAGTCATTCTAGGCCGGTTCAGCTATAAAATTTAAGTTAGAGTATTCTCCATTATTGGATTACATCTGGAGGTTAGCCCAGGACCGGGATGCCCAGAGAGCTCTTGTAGGCGGCCTATGCTCCAGTGGGGGCAAAGGCAATGATGATGATTTACAAGATTTGCCAACAGGCAGGGACACCGCAACAACTTTGTGCCAATCACTGCGGGCCCAGTAACCCACCCATCCCACCCCAGGGGAGGACATCCATCACACAGTAATCCCGTGCGTGGGAAATTAACGTCTCCTACCCCTAACCCTGCAGGAGACCGTTTACCTACCATTTATTCGTCCCTATCCGAGAAGACTAGAATATCTAACCGTTTCTTGATATTATAGAAGGGCAGCATATTCTTCTCAATTATTTTGAAGACCTTGAGTGTTGGTCCGGCCGGGGCTCGAACCCTCGACCTCCCGCACAACAGTCCAGCGCTCTATCCATTGAGCTAACCGGGGTGGGGGGGAGGGCGGCGGTTAGCTCAATGATGATGATGATTCTCCCTAATAGCGTTAAACTAAATACACCTGCCTCATTCCATGCGGTGGGCCAAATGTGATAAGACAACATACAATTCTATCCTCATTTGTTGCTAACTTGGCTTTTGGATTGTGACTGATCCGAAGTAAGACTCGGGGAGCAATTTCTTTATTGATTGCCGCTCACCTACCAAGGTAGTTTCTTTATTTGCGTCCAACACATCTCGCAGTGCAGCGCATAACTTAACACTTTACACAGGGCAGCACCCCAATCTTTAGGTGTTGTTTGAATAAAGTTTTGAACCATTTTTTTTAGGGAGAGTTTGATATAAAGAAGGTGAAATAGGAAAGGTCACTCTTTGGAGTAGAGCCGACTTGCTATATGAGCGAGTGGACAAATTTTGTTTATGTTAGACACCTTTAATGTCCAGTGTTATGGGGTGCAATGGAGCTTAGTCACTGAGTTAGCGTTGAGAATTTTTGTGCCACCCCCTTGGGAGCAGGAGACCATTTGTGGGATTTCAGCCTCCCCGTTACTTCGTCAACACGAGAGGGAATGGGTCCAATATTTCAACAAAATGGCGGACGGACTGAAGCGATGGACAGATAAAGGAACAAATCCATGTACAGCAGAGTCAGTGGCTTCCTTAAAGTGTTTGGAAGAGAATCATTACGACAAGGCAAGATGTGCAAATTATTTTAAAGCATATAAGGAGTGTAAAAGAGCTTGGAATCAAAGGAAGGCAGAAAGAAGAAGACGTGGTTTACCTCCTGGCGATCCTGTGTAGCGTTAGCTCCTAGTGGATGTGATGTAGGACTTTATCGAAGTCTTGATAAATTGAGTTAAGTTGAATGAAGGACGTGTGGGTATGAACCACTTGAAATTGTTTATGAGACATGAGGAGACCAAAGCATCATTTTTATTCCGTGATTGAAGTACTTTTGAGGCAATGACAATCTGTTTATTACATACAAAGAGGGAAGTCCGTTGGAAATGCTGATCAAAGGCAGATCATGGGCGTTACTTTTCGAAGAAGGAAGGCATATGGGTGGTGGCTTATTATAGAGACTGTGATAAACTGCTGGATAAATTGTTTTACATCTTGGATGCTTTCAAATTGTGGAAAGATTGTTTTCACTCAAGAGAGTAAAACTGCTTTTGTTTACCATACCCAAAGAAATGTGCAATTGAGGTTTTTAAAGAGTTTGGGAACTATGGTCACTTAAAATTAAAGAACTCTGTGAGCCTCATGAGTTCTTTTCAGTATGAAGTTGATGTGGATAATCAAACTGGGGTGACTTCTTAAATTTGCAAAGCTGATGTTTAAAGCTTGAACCCTTGTTGGATAATCTACCCTTCCTAACTTCACTTGGACTAAAGCATGGCTGTTTTACCTACCCCCTTGTGTCTCACAAAAGTTTCTTGAAGAACAAACAAACTTAAAGTAAATAATGCTGTTTGTTATTCACAGAAACAAACAAAACTGATTCTATAAAATTTCAAGAATTCCACTTTTTAGTGGAGATGACTTTGTTTCTCATACCAACTTGTAAACACAGATATTTTTTCAATGTATGTTGCTTTCAAAAAAATTCTGGCACTTGCACAACCTTACAAGCAACTCACAGGAATTGGAAGTTTTACTGGGTCTGACTATGTTAAGTGTGAAATAGAAACCTGATTCTTTTGTTTTGGGGTGAACATAATTTTTTCAAGACAACATGATACATCTGAGTGCTCCTCAGTCATCTCCATAACACGTGACATGGTCTAATAAGGGTGCTGTTGAACAGAAAGGGAGAATGGCAAAGCTTTGCCCTCTCAGCTACTTTCTCTGTACCCATCACACTTTGTGCTCCAGAGCTGCCCAAGCTCAGAAAATGATTGGGAACCGGTCAACCTCTTATGTATAAGGAGTGATGGGCAGCAAGCATTTATCGAGATCGAGTTTAGTTGATTTAAGTCAACTTTACTCACCTTGCAAAAAATATGCACAAAAATGATTTTTTTTTCGTAACTGGATCACACGTTAGTAAAAAGGTTACAGTAAATACAGTGAATGCGTAGTTTATTTTTTGGCAAATGTTGGGGTGAACATAATTTTTTCAAGACAACATGATACATCTGAGTGCTCCTCAGTCATCTCCATAACACATGACATGGTCTGATAAGAGTGCTGTTGAACAGAAAGGGAGAATGGGAAATGGGAGAATGGCAAAGCATTCTACTGACAACAATCATTCACTTGAATCTGATGATAACTTCCGCACAGGTTGTTGAAACGTCAGTCACTACCACCGACAAACGTCCTTCCCAGGACTACACTTACCCGGATGATCAGACTACACCTTCACAAATACAGTGAAGGTAAAAATCAAAAATCATTTTTATTTCATTATAATTGAAAATGGATAAAAGAAAGGAGAACTAAGGAGGAAAAAGTAATTTGTCTTATAATTGGAATTGCTTTGAGCTTCAATGTACACTGCATGATTTTCCCATAATTAATATGCCATCGAATCACATTTCAACCCTAGTTCCCCTTGTATACGGACTTACACCTTCCTCGCTGTTCCATCGGATTTTTTTCGTAAATTCCTTAAGTTATTCGCCATACAAGTCGCTATCCTCTTCTCCTTTGACGACTAAAATGTAACAAGTTTGACAACAGCGTCACGCAATCTCTCTATGGCGCACTCGAAGCTCCTTTGGTCAGCGGCTGTGTCGCAAGAGAATGCGCTTCGCTATTGTGACACGTACGAGGATGTAAACATGGCGGCCCAGCTATATTAAAATTCAATTTCACTTCCCCGCATTTTGCAACTGAAACCGATTGGTGTACTCGATATCTTACCACGAAGTGTTACGGTTTTTGCGATTAAATTGGGGAAGCATAAGAGATGCTGATGCTCTAATTACGCAGAAGGAAGACAAATTTTGTACTTACTCCTCAAAGTGAAGTACGTATTGAGTAAACCTAGGCCAGCAGAGTAATTTACATTTTGCAGTTATCAATACTAAGTCGTGGCTTTTTGTAATTTTAGTCATTTTCTAGGAATCCTAAACTAATCAGGAGAGTTTCCCTCTGAGTTTCTCGTACCTATATTGCTTTGATGCTTTCGGTATTGAAAAGTTATAACTGTAATTTGAAGCGGATTGAAGAATTGCCAGCTTGGTTTACTTTCTTTAACCCTATAATACGATTAAATTTACGAGTTTTTAACATCAGTGATAAAGATAGACAGCATCACAATTTTCATTAGAAATAGTGGATACTTTATCGATGTTGACAGTTTTATATTGTTGAAATGCCTTCCAAGCTTTCATGGAATGGTCCAAGCTGAAATGAATGTTTTTGCTAATATACTGATTTTTAGAGTACAGATAGGTTTGTATTGTACAACTTAATTTAGTAGGGTGATACCACCCAATACCTGGCTTATTGTCTTTTTTCTCTGAAAATTTAACACATTGTTGGACATAAGTCAGTATGTCATGGTTTACTGACCTTGCTGGCAAGGCAGAGTTCCTGTTGGAAAAGGTTGATACTGCTGCAGCTTCCGCACTTACAAAGGACCAGATTAACCAAGAAGCTGGTGGATTCAGTAAAAATGTTATTCCAACTGAACCCATAGGAAGCTCTGTTTCAACACAGCGACCAACTCCGGCGCCAGTTGTCAACCAAGGAGTTGATTTTCCAAAGAAAGCCAGTGAGAGCAGTGTATTAGGTGAGCAGTGATAAGGTGCTTTCATCTACATCCTCTTTGGAAATTTCATAATCTGTAATAAACTTAACTTCATCTAACTTTACAGTCTCTTTTGGTTGTATACATTTAAAGACAGTAGGGTAGCCTGCTGTTAAGCATTGCATGTCATTTCACAAACTAATAGATGGCTTCTTCAAACAACTTATTCTGCAAATTGTAGTAGAAAACATGTGGAAAAGTGTCTACTGGCTTTTTATAACCACATATTATTACACGACTCGGGCAGTCAGAGGGCCAATAACTAAAAAAAAAACCAATCAAAATGCTCTATTGCCGGTCCAATATTCTCTAAGTATTGGACCGGGCACTGTCCCGAATGGTCCTGAATGGTACCGCACTTGTGTCCCTTTGAACTTCAGTCGTATAATAAATCTCTTATTAACCAAGCTTGCTTGGGACCGTACTGGAAGAATATTGGCCCTCGGTCTTTTTTGTATGGACCTCGTTGCACTCGGTCTGTAGTGTCAAGACCTCAGACCGATATTCTCCCAGTACGGCCCTCGTGCTTGGTTAATAAGATATATATAAGCCACAAGCCACAATGTCCTTTCTGCCATTTCTTCAATCTTGCCAAGAATAATTTCACCGGAACTGATATATTGAAGGCTTTGCTTTGTTTGATAGGTGGACCTACAATCCCTATCAAGGCTCGGCTACCTTCTTCTGGTTCTAAGACACCCCCAAGGGTAACAAGAACAGAAAACAAAAGTGATGAGAAATTATTTGAGTTCCTCAATAGTAATATTCCCACCTCTAAGGAAAGGAAACCTATAAAACCAAAAGTAATGACAGTTACAGAAACATCATCTGATGCAGTTGTTAAAGATAATGATACTTCACTGCTGCTTCAACAAGATGCTGCAGATGGAAGAATTAATGATGGTGAGCATGTGATCAAATTTAACAGTATTTGCTGCCCTAAAAAACTCTATTCTCAGTATAAATTCCAGTCCACTTGACCAGTGTCAACAAAACAGAACACGTGATCGAGTGGACAGCATAATTCACCTTTCAAACAATCTCTTTCTTGTTGTCTCAGTTGAAGCACTAATTTAGATCATTCGTTGTGAAATATGCTTCTTTTCTTTATGTTACCTTTAGTACTGGTTCTCAAGGATACAATAAAGTTCAGTAAAAGAAAGTACAATTAAGAGTTTTAGTTATGCTAGAAATCAATATTGTGTTTGGTTTACCCATGACAACATTATTTTCAGGACCTAAACATATGTTACCTCCTTTGTACAGAGGAAAACCTTTGTTTGTAGTTAAATTTTTTATCGTTATTACACTCAATTTGTACCTGCAACAATGTGTTGCATTTGACAGTGATATGTCTTGTGCTGCAGTTTGCTTGTTATCTGTATGTTTGTTATCTGTATGTTTGTTATCTGTATGTTTGTTATCTGTATGTTTGTTATCTGTATGTTTGTTATCTGTATGTTTGTTATCTGTATGTTTGTTATCTGTATGTTTGTTATCTGTATGTTTGTTATCTGTATGTTTGTTATCTGTATGTTTGTTATCTGTATGTTTGTTATCTGTATGTTTGTTATCTGTATGTTTGTTATCTGTATGTTTGTTATCTGTATGTTTGTTATCTGTATGTTTGTTATCTGTATGTTTGTTATCTGTATGTTTGTTATCTGTATGTTTGTTATNCCCCAACCCTGCAGGAGACGGGACCTCCATTTATTCGTCCCTATCCGAGAAGACTAGAATATCTAACCATTTCTTGATGTTATAGAAAGGTAGCAAATTCTTCTCAATTATTTTAAGACCTTGAGTGTTGGTCCGGCCGGGGCTCGAACCCTCTACCTCCCGCACTACAATCCAGCGCTCTATCCATTGAGCTAACCGGGAGGTGGTTGACTCTATGAGAAAACATTTTCAAATGATACCCAGTAAACTAAGTTAACTAAATTTTCCTGGTTCCTCACCTGTGGTGTCATAGTTGTGTTATTGGTGGTGATCTGTTGTGAGTGGTGCTCAAATCATATTGAGAGTCATTGGTTTGAACCTCCTTGAAGTGTGAATTTTTCCTCGCTTTTTTTATTCTTCAATTGAAATTACATACAGTTGCTGTGATTTGTTTGTTGTCACTGAATCGTTGAATTTTGCCTGTGCATCCTCATTTTTCCTCGTTGTCTTATTGCTAAAGTACTCTACAAAGAAGTCTGACTGGGAAACTTTACAGCATAAGGAAGTCTGTATTTCACACTTAAATTGGAAATGGAAAAGCTAACTTATAATTTGGCATTCTAAATTGTTCTAACCTGGAAGGTTTCTCAATAACTTTATCACAGGAGTAAAAGAAACAGAGAAACAGCTTCAAAGAAGTCAGCAACAGTTGGCAGCTTCTGAGGAAGTTTCCAGACAACTGAGAGGAAAGGAGGATGATTATACAGAGGCACTTAGTGCTAAGGATTCACAGCTGGCTGTGCTTAGGGTCAGGATACAGGAATCAGACCAGGAGCTGAAGACCAAACAGCAGCAAATTGAACAGTACCAGTTAGAGAGGGAGAGGTCTGTTAGTATACAGTACACATGACAATAATAATGTTATCATGAATCACAGGCCAAAACTGACACTTGCTACTTGCTTAGCTAAATCAGAAATTAAAACTTAGTAGTTGAAATGTGTAATCTCTCCAATGTTAAATCAAGTTACACAGGAAACCCTTCATGTTGACTTTTGTCATGTACATATCAACTTAGCAAGTTAAACTAAGTTTAATTTGGTTTAATTTTATGTGTTAATCATAGTTCCAACTGCAGATGAACTTAACCCAGTAATACTGATTTAATTGTTGAGTGTTGATATTTGTGCAATTCACAGCTTGAATTTCAGTCAAAATTTCATTCTTAGGGGTTCTCCTTTACTTTGTGCTTCTGGGCATTGTTTTTGTTGAAGCCATTGATATATTCCTTGTCTAAAATTGCTATCTGAACTGGCAAACCTAGGGTATGTTAAGCAAGACCTCACTCTGTCAACTTCTGTGGTAAAACACATTAGCCTATGAAGTGTCAGGATGATTTTGAAGACTTGCAGGGTTCATACACATCTTGAAAACCCTTGAAAACCCTTGAATTTCAGGAGGCCGATTTCAAGGCCTTGAAAGTACTTGAATTTCATTTTGGGTCCTTGAAAGTCCTTGATTTTTTATTGAACAACATCGAAAAATATCTGCTTTTGTTTTGCACCATTGGTAAACCCAAAACATAGATGTTTACAGAAACATTTTTCTTGGTTTTGAGGTAAAATTGTCATTACAAAAAGTCCTTGAAATTTCTAAGTAGGGTCCTGGAAAGTCCTTGAAAAGTCCTTGAATCTTTGGCCTGAAAAAGTTTATGAACCCTGGACTTGTCTTGAGAGTTCTCAAGAAAAGGTGGAACCATGGTGCCAGCACCTGGATACACAGTTGTCTGTACCTGACTACCTCACATGAGACAGAGAGGAGTTCTCTTCTTAGTATTGTAGTTTTAATTTTCCTTTTTTTTCGTTGGGTTACTCTCATAAGAATGCTATAGCACTCAGAAATGTAATAAAACTCCTGTCTTTCTTCAGGCTACTTCAGGATCACTCAGCATCAACTGGTGTTCACAGTCATGCATTAGACACTCTGAAGGCCAAACTGGAAGAAACTGAAAGCAAACTTAAAGCTGAACAGGAATCTCAAAAGAAACTTGAGGTATATCTGGCGAAAAATGCTTCTATTAGGACTACACCCCAGCTTATTTTAAGGGCTTGCCAGTATTATATGAAAGTTTTTCAAAGGATTTTGTCAAAACGGTCTTAAATAGTAAAGAACTTGCTTAGGATATTTGTGCTGCAGTTAAATTTGTTGGTGATCGTGTTCCTTTTTTAATTTATTTTTACATCACTTAATTTACTGTGTTATTATCTGAAGAGAATAAGTGACAGTAATTAATCAAGTAAAAGATAAATGGCATGGAAACCTAATAAAAACTTTACAGACTTATAACCTTAGGTTCCGTCTATTTTTATGTTTTTATCAGCAAGAGTCCATGGAAAGGCAAACGAAGCTAGAAGGGGAACAAGCCGCCATGGCTGAGTCACTCAAAACGTTGCAAAAGAGAGTCAATGAAGAGAAGAGTATCCATCCATTCCATTTGATTTATTAATTTAAAACAAAACTGAACCAAGTACATGGCCTGGTTTATCAACTGTTTGTCTGAAGATGAACAAAATCAGAACTGATTTGGGTTTTAGTTCTCACAGGGGTACTAAGTTTTTTTTTGTCGCACACTGGTATGAAGTAAGATACTTAAGAAATCTTTACATTCCCTTTTCCCTGAATTTACAATATTTCTTTTGTTCAAGTCGACTCTGTATCCGTCTTTACTTTGAACGACGATTCGACCAAAACTATGCGTTTGGAACATTTGACTGACTAGTACGTAGAAATTGCAATGACTTTTAGTTGTGCGCTGAATAGTTCTTGATAGTTCTTTTTTTCCGGGCTGCGATGGGGGTACATTTAGGAGCTTTCTCTCCTTAACCATTTAATAGATAAGAATAGTGAGAATGCTACAGCACTGAAAACAGCAAAAGGAAACTTAGAAACTGCGAGACAAGAACTGAAGGACTATAAAGATAAAGCAGCCAGAATTCTTCAGGTGACTTAATCAATTTTGTTTTTATCCAATCATCTCTAAATTCATGTGGCAATAAAACAAATTGTGGGTAATGAACCCTGGTCAGCGGTAGTAAGAGAAATCATTCTGCTGTCAGGCTAAAGACAAGGTGATAGCAAGTCTCCGTGATGGAAGTAAAGGTGAAGTCACAAGTGGTGTTACTAGTTCAGAGTTTGATGAGGTCTGCCATGAGAGGGACATGTTTAAAGATGAAGTCAACCAAGTCAAGTACAAAATGGAGCAACTGAAGGCTGATTTACAGGTTAATTTGTTTCCTTTTTTAATCTGCTTTCCACAATCGTAGCTTTACGCTGGTCGAATCCTCCTTAGTCTTAAAGAACCCGAAACATCTCAATATTTGGTGTTTGCAATTTTCGTTTTTATGTAGTGCACAGTTTTACCAAAGAATTTTGCTAATTGATGTCGCGAATGTGGGACAAACATCAAAGAACCTAGAAGGGATGAACCAGGTGTCCCTGTGTGCTCTTAGGACGTCACACCCGAAGAACCTAGAAGGGATGAACCAGGTGTCCCTGTGTGCTCTTATGACGTCACACCCGTCCTGTTAGACTTTCGATACCGTTCCTAGCACTTCACGCCAGTCAGAGGAGTCAGCCATTTTCTCGCCCCCTTCTTCACACAGCGTCTCGTATTAGTCGCGTTGCGCTTGGTTCTCTCAGTCAGCGCTACTTGTTGACAAAGTGTAGTCTGTTTATAGACCGTACTTGAATGAGCTGATAAGTTAAATAGGACTGTGCGCTGAATATCTGATATTACTCCATAGGACCTGGAACAGCAGCAACAGTCTGAGGCAGATCTTGCTCGAGAGAAAATAGAAGAATTAGAGAGTGCTCTAGAAGACGAAAAAAGGAAGAAAGACGCCTCTGAACAACAAATTCAACAGCATCTCCAAGTATGTGAATGAGAAATTTTCTTTCCTTGAGCTCCAAATTTAAACATTTCCAAAAGTCGCCTTTTGGCGACCTTAGTTCGACTTGATCACTTGACTGCTCATTTTTAGGAGTTGCGGAACGGTTTGTTTGCGTTTGTTTGTTTGATAATCCAACCAAGGACCCACAAAATTTTCTTATCCTTTTTTTTTTTCAATCTGTTGGTCGCCAATTGGCGACTTTTGTTGGAACGTTAGTCGCCATATATATTTTTCACTCGCCATGGCAATTACGACGGTCGCAACTTGGAACGCTATTTGCTAATAGTATGGAGCTTTTTGATCAACCTACCCGTTAATTTCTGTACGATCTCTTTCCCGGTTGTTCGAAGAGTGGATCGAGTCAAGTCATCTTTATTTAGGCGAGGGTAGTCCCGTCAGCGGCCATAAGCTGGTATTAAAAGGGGCCCTTCGTAAGTAGATAAAAAAAAAGTCTTTTTATAGGATTACACAATTACTGGTGAACCAGTAGTTTCCATTGTGGTCCTTGCAAACAAATGAAACAAAATGGTCTAAATTGAACGTAACGTCATTAAGAACCCCAACCGGTCGGAGGCAAACCAGTTGGCTATTTACAAGCGTGGTCAACGATCTGAACTCGGGGCTACCGTGAAACAGATCCAGTGGTCAGGGTGGGACTGGAACCCGGGAGCGGCGGATTACGAGTCCAACACTCTAACCACTCGGCCACACTGCCTCCAAGATAACGGTATTCACAGAATAAATCTCTTTCCGATGGATAATGCAGCACGCTTTGTGAAGAATGCCACTTGAAAAGGTTGAAACGTGAGCTGCCCACAGCAAATCCTCCTTTGTTTTATTCCATTGTGGCCTCCGTACGTTGAGTAATGAAAAGTTTTGACTTTTTTTCCATTCGGTACTTCAGCTGGTCTCCATTCGCTCAATAAAAAAAAATTTTCAAAATTAGAATGATTTTCATTCTTTTCTTTCAGGATCTACATGAGGCCCAAGATGAAATACGAGCAACTAAAAGCAGCTTTATGAGCCAGTTACAGGTAAGTTTCCAGCATGGATTTTTTTTTTTTTTATCTTTTCCAAATTTTTTTTACTCTTCGTCCGATCTAATTTGCCATTTTCTTGCAGGAGAGGGAGAATGAAATTCAGAAACTTAGAAACCAGGTAATTTTAATCACAGTGTGTCGACAATCTCTTGGTCACGACCAAGACAAAGTTTTTCTTCAGTTTCAGTTGTTTCCTATGCTGTCTAGCTTTAAATGTGTAATGTTTCTTTATCTTTGATTTATTCAAAACAAGTTGGAGATTTAGTACAGGGTTAGGCTTGATTCTGGAGACGATCGCCATTTCATAGAGATTCTGTGGCGTTTTGTAACTGAAATTCGATCATCGCTTACGATGTTTTACAGCTTGCAACTAAGGCGCTTACGTCTACGAGTGAGGAGGAACTGGGAAACAGGGTCCGAGCGCTGACGGAAAACCTCATTCAGAAACAAACACTGATCGAGGCCTTGAGCACAGAGAAGAATTCTTTGGTGCTACAATTAGAGCGGCTGGAGGTAGGACCACCATTAAACCTACTGATTACTTTGTTGCTAGTCAAAGGCTTGAACGAACCCAAAGTTTATATCTTTTTAAGTTCCCCAAGTTGTCTCAAACCGGTTTCTTCATTTAGAAAAGTGATAATAACCTGTATGGTTACTTTTCCTGTTTTCTGGCCATCCCAACTTCAGTAGAATAAGTACGCTACTTCTGCAGCAAACATGACAAGAACACACTTTTTATTATTTTATGATTTTATTTATTTGCCATGACCTAGTGTAGCCATGGTCACCCCTCCCCCCCCTTTTTTTAGGAAATCAACACACGCCCTTGGTCATTATTTTTTGTGAGGGAGGGGGAGGACGTTCTCTGCAGTTTGGAAGCTCAGCCGATCGTTCGGGTCTTTTCTACCATGCAAAGACACTGTACTTTGTATACTTGTCATTTAATAATATTGCTCATAAAATAACTACAGTAGATATCCTTGTGGCTCGCTTCCTTTTTATTCACTTGTCACTCATAATCTCCAGAAACAATACAGAGATGTACAGGCGTCTACTTCCAAAGTGATTGCTGGCTCATCGGCAACTTATGACGGTTTTGATGACAACGACGAGAACACGCGTAAGTTTCCCGCCATGTGCAGTTTTCTTACACGACTGGGGGACTAAGTTTTTCAAGAGATATGTGCCCGTCTTCGTTTATTGATATAATTTGGATATATCAACAAAGTTGAAATGGTAAATTGGCCACCGTAACGATTACAAAAGCTGACGTTTCGAGCGTTAGCCCTTCGTCCGACGAAGGGCTAACGCTCGAAACGTCAGCTTTTGTAATCGTTACGGTGGCCAATTTACCATTCCAACTTTGTTGATATATCCAAATTATTTCGTTACTCCCACCGACGCAGCCCCAAACAGTTTCTTTCGAAACTATCAGCCTTTATTTGTTTATTGATATTTGATTGTGCGACATGTTTTTAACTTTATTGTTTACGATTGTTATGTATATATTAGTTTTTTTTTGTTTTGTTTTTGTTTTTATTTTATTTCTGTTGAATGATATCTATTTTTATCAAGAGCTTGGAGGTCATCAACAGCTTATGCCGCTAGCGTCTCTATAAGACCAGTGATACGCTAACGGCCTCCTTTAATTTTTATGTATTTCTGTAAGCCGACGTGGCCTGCCGATATTAAATTGGATCATTCTTGAAAGAGAGAGGCGGTTTCCTAAGTTACCGCTCTCTGTCTGATATCGTCTGTTCTCATTTATTTTTAGTGTCACGTGTGAAATCAATATCTTCCATTATGCCCTCGCAACTTAACGACTCCAGAAAAGTTAAACGAGCTGTCAATGAAATCGACAAGTTCAGGTAAGTCCCACTTTTAGAGAATAGATGTCACATCTAAACTACCCATACCAAGTGAATTATGTTAATATCTAAGTAACTTGTGATCGGGCGTTAAAATTTTTCTTAGTATGAGCGCGAAACAAGTTAGCGCCAAAGTCGGTGGGTGTTGGCCTTCGGCTTTGTCTGATATTTGTTTGGCGGACTAAATTTTGAGCTATCACAATGACGAGAACCAAATTTCAAAGATATTCGAATGCCCAAGGTATTGAACACTCAATTTTTATTACCACCTGGAAATATTTTTAACGTATCAATTGGCATTGGACGGAAATGAAAGTTACGCATGCGTCTAGCCATGAAACTAAAAGTGTAGTGACTACAAGTTTGATCAAAGGTCGATTAATAGTCAGATCAGAAATGGAATTACTGTATTATCATTTCTATTAAAATGTATTAGATTTGTACTAGGCAAGATATTAGGGTTGAAATGGTCGATAGTTTCAAAGCTTAATTGAAATAGTGATTATATCTTTATCGAGCGAATAATCTTGACCCGCAAAATCCTGGATTGCCAATATTTTTTGTTGGAAATACCCGGTGTCAACTACGTAATAGAGACGTAAGACCCATCAAGGTAGTGTTTGCTGATAACATGTACGAAATCCATTTCCTTCTACGTCAATTCGCTTCTGACTTTGGCCAATACAGTGGATCGTTAACTTTTTATTCTCGGAAGCTCTATTTCTTTCTCGTTTGTTGGTTATTTTCCTGAACTTGTAGGGTTTTTACGTGTTTTTTTTTTTCGTTTCCACCTGCATAATTTCATTTTTACCGCACCACTCACTGATTAGCGAAAACAAACTTTTTCCTCTGAAACAAGACATAAAGCGACAAGTTGTCACACTGATAATTTGTTTCCTTTATTTCAGTATAAGACTTGGTCTTTTTCTCAGAAGGTATCCCATCGCACGGCTTTTTGTCATCATTTACATGGTAAAGTACTCCCGTTTTTTGTTTCATGATCTGTTTCACTGGGCCCTATCTCCTCTAGATCTTGCTCCTTATGTAACTCTAGATGCACGTTCTGTCATTTATGGCGCTGTCTTGTCTGTACGTCATCTTTATAATCCAAGTGTTGTCTATAGGTGTTCACTCGTGCTGTTTATCCGTATTGAATTAAACACTCGAGTAAAAGTGCAGGTTAATATCTCGGTTTACTCTTGTGAAGTTGTTGTGGTCATGGTAAAATAACCTTTAGTATATGGTCACACCGATCGAAAAGCTTTCTTTGCGAACTTTATTTATACTAAATAATTCATTTTCAAATGTGATTCGGAGTGTGGTCATTTATTCCTTCCATTTCTTTTATTTTCCGGGGAAAAAAGGCAACTAGTATTTACCTTTGTTTTCAAAAGAAAATGTAAGTGGGACAATTTGCATATTTTTGCATGGAAAACGCTCAAGTTTCGCGCTGAACTTGCTTTCAGTGAAACAATTTTGCCCATTTGCTGAGAAGAGGAACTGGATGGGGAAATTTCGCGAAATTTAGGTCCCTAAAATCCACTAACAAACCTTACACAACTTGTTGGATAGTTCTGAGAGTAAATTTGACGTTCTCAATTTTACTCAGGACACCTTTTCCAAAAATTGGCCTATTTCCATTTACGTATTCCTATCGCAAATGGACTTACAAAAATTAATATTCCCACTCTTTGACGTACTTGAGGAGGCTGAGTCACGGAATCGTCAAAACAGCAGGTGTATGTGGTTAGATGTATACGACTTGTTCGCCACCAAACTGTTCAAATTACTCTCTTTTTTTTGGTTTCTTTTCTCTTGATTTATCTTCATGTCGATTCTACCGGGTGAGACCGAACTACAATTCTATTTCTGTTTCCATGTACGGGGCTTTGTAATACATAATTGTATTATTTTCTGTGGTTACTAATTTTGAAATCCTATATCCTGACGCGTTATTAACTGAGGAATATTTCTGTTCCCATTTACTGTTGTAAAGGTGTTGCTTCATTTATGGGTCCTGGTTGTTCTCATCACCTACCAACCCGAGGTTCACACACCTGGTTCAGCTTATCTGCCTCAACCTCCTGGTGGCGGCTAGTTCTTGGGCGTCACACAAGTAACGGAAATTATTCATTTCAAATAAGAATCCTGAACTAGCAGGGAATAATCCGGTTACGGGCTTGTAACGGAAGGAAACCAAAGACCAAAGGTGGAAAAACTTTCTGAGCAAACAACAGTTATGAGCGCAACAATAAGAGATAGAAAGAAACAGAACTGTTGATTCAGCACAGAATACAGATGTTTAAAGACCTAATGCTTACTCAGGCAGTCAGTCAAACTTGGAATAAATTCTGCCTTTCTCTTAGATTAGTGTACGGTGAAGAGATAGTGTTGTATGACTTGTATTCAAGTAAGAAACGTTCAAGAAACTTCAGTGCAGGGTTGGCTGTGATTAAAATTTCGCAGCTGCCAGTTGAAGATCACGAGCGTGAATTTCTATTGAAATAAAATTGCGCCGACACGTAGACAGTTTACATGTAATAAGTTCTACACACACATACCGATCTGATAAGGATTCTTTTAACATAAACATAATAAAAATCTTGTCAAAAAGTAATACCTAACGGGTCAGCTGAAACTTAACGGGCTTAAAGTGCACTTAAAATATCTGTTTGTCCAAATAACTGGTTAATGCTTCGAACTGTGGCTTCACAGCAGGATTCAAGCTTTCTTTCATTTGAACTCGCTCGAGAATTTAACCACGAAATAAGGGGCTGACGGGAGATAGAACGCTCCCATGGAGAAGGAATAAAGATTACGCGAGTTCCATGTCGTGAGCTGTTTGACCCCAGCCTTAGTGGCTTGGATAGTGTATTAATTTGTGCCCCTGTTGACCAAGCATTGCCTTCGAATAAATACAAACCCTGTTTTCAAGTTTAGTGATATTTCAGAGCAATACAAGCCTGAGAGTGCATCAGTGCTCGATACTAACATTGATTAAAAGTTTTATCTTTCCGTCCCCTCGTGCAGTGTTTCAGTTGTGTAAAACTGATAGACAGATCTGAGCGATTCGTGCAGTTTTGCGTCATTTATTATCTCAATGAGAGTTGTATTTCCTTGCCGGCGGTAATATGTCACGACTGGATGACTCCTCTTATATTCCTTTCGACGTGTGTTTCCTCTCGGGAAAGCTTGCTCCCACGAGTTCTGTTTTGAACTGCAACAAGGTGGGTACTATAAACGTATGTAAAAAGAAGGCACGATGAAAATACTTGATATCCATCAATAAATTTGATACACAGATACAGCTTAATTAGTTCCTGAACTCAAAACTACTTTGTTGAGCTAAAAGCAGCAGGAGTGAAACCTTTCAATTATCACAGTCTCCAACATCCGCGACACCATGGTGTTCGATAAGCACTACTTAAATTGATGACAGTGAAATTTGTTATTTTTGTGGTCCACCGAGGCTTTGATTAGAGTAAAACGTCTCGTAAACGATAAGACTGAAAAAAGTGTTTGGTACCCGTACGTTAACTCTATCATTGAAAATACACAAGTTTGTTTGTCACACCCCGAGCAAGTTTCCCATGTTCGTTCCAAAGACATTGTGTGACATAAAATAGTGGAGTGAGAGTTTGTAGAATGCCCTGACTGATACATTTTTGTAACAAAGGAAGAACAGATTAGAGATCTATTCAAATACCTGATTCAAGTTATCCATTTTGTGCGGCAATTAGCGGGTTCCGATTCGCTTTCAATACATCTCTGCTGTTAACACAGTATTGTGATAAGCGGCCATGGCAGCTAGGTAAGGTGTGTTAACATCTGTCACACCCTATTCCATCAAAAATGGAAGAAATAAGCTCATACAATATGATGTTACTTTACTCCAGGGCTTTACACTCTTATTTTGTAATTCTTTTCAATAACACACATGCAGGTGATTGTAAAAATGATACGAATACGTTTGTGCAATAGTTATTAGTAGCATATGTCCGAAAATGATTTACAGATCACAATCCGAGGTCCCAATAACCCAACTGTCTGAGGGTCAGATTTACGGTATTTGCTGGCTTACTACTTGTTAATGAGTATTCAAACATCGACTCTTTGCCAGTGAAATCGAACAAGGTGAACGAAAGATTAGTTATTGTTCTACTCAAAATATCATGCTTGGTAGTTAACCCATGTATCTATTACACTCAATTCTTGGGGAATAATTTCCCCGTGGAAAAGTGTCTTCTAATTTCAATTGACATTTTTGTTTCACTTGAGGCACTTAATCATCGAAGGGCGTTTCCTCGCATCAAATTTGTCTTTATAAATGTAGTTTGTGTTTAAATAAAAAGCTCTAAAAATCATGAATGAAATTTTGCTTCTTATGGAGTCGCTCAGCGCTTTATTCAGGTCACCGGTGACAATTCCCTGAGCCTGTTCTTTCATCACCACACTCGCAGCCAGCTGGATTCAATGGTTGTCAACTCCGACATTAAGAAAAATATTCTGAAGGAAGTGTCACAGATAACTGGGTGTAAATGGGCTCTAATCGCAATCAAATTATTCAGTGTTTGGTCAGTAGCTGTCTGGGGTTATTAGATAATGATAATGCTACAGCAAAACAGTCCAAGTGATTGCATCAACATGTCGGTTTAGATTGAATTGTTTGCAACATCTAGAATGTTCTTCTTGTCAACTTGGCAGTATCTGTTAAGAGATTCTTGTAAACTATGCGTTTAAAACTTTTCAAAACAAAATACTGCGTTTTAAAATCCTTGTTTAAATGCAAAAGTGATTTCAAATGGAAAGTCTTTGAAATCTGTTCCTGCGGTCTCAAAAGCATTGTATGAGTTGATCATTTGTTGGCGTTCAATATTCAAATATTCTATGTTACGAAATTTTGCCATATTCGTACATTTATTCGCTTGTCGCTAATGCGTCAAAAGAGGCAAAAAATATTCATTTATTCCTAGTTTTAAAACAAAACACATAATAAATCCACGGAATATTTCCACTTAAGCGGTGTTCAAATTGAAAAAATTATCAAAACACACATCTACAGCTGAGCGCATGCGCAGGCCACCATAATATATACATTCCAAATACAACTTGTTTTCAATTGGTGAGCGCTGTGAGTTGCTTGGTAGGTTGTCTTTTCTCCTACCAACCAGTAAGAATGAAAGCAGCTGGCATCTTGCTGACGACAATTTGAATGTGAAAAGACATCTCTATGCGTTTTACGCACCAGAGATCGCTGTTTGAACAAAACTCGACTCACGATATTCATTGGGCTCTGGCGATTTCGTGGTGTCCGGTCAACAGCCCACGGTCGGAAGGAATCGAAGTTGTCTATTGTCTCTAAATTCACACTTATATCATTCACAGATGTAGAGTGCCACTAAACATGTCCTACGCTAAAAGGCTTGCGCTTCATTCGGGCGTAATTTGTGTTATATGGTGCGCTTTTCTACAACAGACCGTGAAGGCAACTGAAGGATGCCCTGGTTTAAGAACAGATTGTAAAGCGGGGATTGTTTTGCCTGTATGGGGAGGCAATCCTTCTCTAGGAGTAATTGTTGGGCGAGCGTTTGTGTATTTGCTTGCCTTACTGTTTTTGTTTTTGGGCGTTTCAATAATCTCCGATCGTTTCATGTCGGCTATTGAAATAATTACATCCAAAGAGAAAGAAATCAAGGTAACAGACAAGCAAACTGGAAAGGAGCGAACTGTCACCGTAAAAATATGGAACGAGACTGTGTCAAATTTAACTCTCATGGCCCTGGGATCGTCGGCTCCCGAAATTCTGCTGTCTGCCATCGAAATTTGTGGAAATAATTTTGACGCTGGCGAGCTCGGTCCGTCGACAATAGTCGGTTCTGCAGCTTTCAACCTATTGATTATCATTGCAGTTTGTGTTTATGTTATTCCCGATGGAGATTGCCGCCGAATCAAACATCTGCGAGTGTTTGCCATCACAGCCTCCACATCAGTTCTTGCCTACGTTTGGTTGTACATCATACTAGCAGTGTCGTCTAAAGATGAAGTGGAAATATGGGAGGCTCTTCTGACTCTGGCTTTCTTCCCAATAATGGTCATCTCTGCCTACATTGCAGATCGAAGGCTGTTGTTTTACAGGGCACTGAGAAAGGGTAGAAGAAAACAGAAGCGTGGAGGTATGACAGTCATTCAAACAGGCGACTACGATGTTGTTGGGGTTCAAGTAAAGGATGGTTTTGTCGACGGAAACGTAGCCGATGGTCGTTACGAACCTAGCGCCGCCGAAGCCGGACAACAGTTTGATGATGACGAGCTTCTCCATGATCTGACGGAAGACAGGCGCGAAAAGGCCATTCAAGCCTTAAAAGACATACGACAGAAACATCCCGACGCCGACCGTGAAACCGTTGAGCGGTTACTCGAGCAAGAAAATTTAAAACTTCAACCAAAAAGTCGTGCGTTCTATCGAATTGAAGCTACTCGCAAGATGGTCGGCAGTGGAAATGTGTTGAAGATGAAGCACGAAAAATTGGAGAAGGCCAGCAGTTCCTTGGCAGATGCTAAGATGGAAATGCAAGATATCGAGTACGAAGACCCACAGGTTGTCAGGGTTAATTTTGACCCCGTCCACTACATTGTTAAAGAAAACTGTGGAAGTGTGTTTATGAACATTTCACGCACTAGCGGTGATCCGAATAACACGGTTTTCGTGGACTTCAGGACGGAGGACGGCACAGCAAAGGCTGGCGAGGACTACGAGAAGACAGAAGGTTCAATCTGCTTCAGGCCTGGAGAAACTTCTAAGACATTCTCGGTCGTTATCGTTGACGACGATATCTTTGAAGAAGATGAGCATTTTTATGTCCATCTGGGGAATGTTCGAGTAGCTGGAGCCGATGGGGATTTGGTCCGCAACAAATATCGAGGTCCTGCAGGAAAAGTTGGCAAAGACGGAGTAGCTACTGTAACCATTCTGGACGATGACTACCCTGGGATATTCACTTTCGAAGAAGAGAAGCATCAAGTGGCGGAAGCAGATGGAGCCATTAACATCAAAGTTATTCGCCACACTGGTGCGCGCGGCACTGTTCGTGTTCCTTACCATACTGTTGAGGGCACAGCTAAGGGAGGAGGAGATGATTACGAAGATGCTGTGGGTGAGCTAGAGTTTTCAAACGACGAGACCTGGTAAGCTGCTTTACAATCTTATACTGTGTAATACAACCTAATACACAAGCAAATGTGATCACCTTTTGTCTTTCTGTACATATTTTAATAAGCCGAAAAAAGAATTATTACAAGGAGAGATACGGTACTATTTACTATCTACCAGTTCCGTGCAAGGACTTGGAGGTTTCGCCTCACTTTTTAAGACCAAAAACAAAAATAATATTATTATCGACACAAAAAATCAATTGAAGTGGTCAGAAGATGTGCAGAATTTTATCAATAGCATTTTACGAATCGGTCTTCGATCGCTCGGCCATGTTTATGAAATCCTTACATGCGTAATATTCTTCACCATTTTGCCAAATCTTCTTAAAACGACTGTCGCTAATTCGTGTAAATTCATCAAATTTGACTTGTGCCGATGATGAAGCCATCTTCGTTTTACAACTATCTGATATATCGCTGACAGATGCCACTGAATTGATTTATGCAAAATAATGAGATAACTTTGACGACACTTGGTCCATGTTATGATATTTCCTACTACAATTTAACGATTCCTAAGATATTTTTCATTGCCTTTTCCCTGTGCAGGATTTCGAAAAAAAAAATGGTTAAGAACATTCCACGAATAATCAAAATATTGCCTAAGCAATGTTTCCGTGCAACGTCTTTAAATCTATAAAATCAGCTTCTATGGATTTTTTCTCTATTTTTGTATGTGAAACGTTTCTCTCCTAAAGGAGCATATTTGTTATTCTGAAGGATAATTAGCATCGAATAAAACTGTCACCATATGGTAGTGTGGCAGAAGTTTGCGGTATCGCTGATCTTTGTAGGCGAAACAAAAACACATTTTGCGATAGCTGTAAACACATTTTCACAAGTTTAGTCACAATACCGCAGCAGTTGGCAAACTCTCATTAAGGCTGTTTTTTTTTTTTTTTTTCGATTTATGTTTTTTGTTTTTTATTATTGCAAACCCTTTTATCGTCATCCATGCCTGATGGAAGAATATTTGAACCTGCCCCAACAAATTGAAAACAAGTCCTTGTTTCCTTCAACATAACAAGCCTTTTGCATATTAATAACTCTGATAATGAGAGGCTATTTCAAGGTTTGGGATTGATGGACTGAAATTTTTTTCATCAAAGCTGTGTAAAGCCCATAAACAGATGAACGTTTAAACAAATGATAAGAGTTTGTTTTATACCACTTATAAGAAGTTTCTCCTTCTCTTCTTCTGGTAGCACAAAGCCTTAAATAGAATAAATGTAATTACAAACAAAAGAACAGTACTTAATGCATTATGGTAATTTTATTGCCAAATAAGATCTAAAACAGCAAAAGTTTTACACAGTTCTTATTTCAGCTAAAGAATGACAAGTTCAGAGTGGCAAATGAGTAATAATTCACTAATATCTGATCCACGTCTAAAAAACCAATTAAGATATTTTTATCTTTCTAGACCAATCCTTGTTTGAAATTATTTTAAATAATTTGTTCTAAATTACACCAAGCATTGAATAGTTGACCATTTCAATATATTTTTTTTTTTATGTATACACATAGATTAAGTGTTGGAGTTAATTGGTGTGGGCTTTTGTTTAGCTTTTTTTTAGCTTTTTTAATTTTTAACTTGTAAATATTATATGATACACCCAAAGAAGGCTGAAGGCCTCAGTGTTGTGTATGAAAATGCTGTACCAGTCAAGAGTTTACCAGCTGTGTTTCTGAATAACACTTACTCCACATTGTGGAGAAGACATTTGCATCCTCTGGATCTACTTACTGGGAGCTGTTCATTTGGTAGCCATTTGACACTTTCTATACATTGCAATTTGAAAATATATATGAAATATATCCACCTTTTCTTTTTCCATAAAAAAAGTGTTTAGAGAATAAATTAAAAGGACAATTTTTCAAAACAAAAAAAACACAACTGCTGTCAAAATAACAAACAATGTGTTGTTCCTTTGCTGTGAAATATATATGCACTGTGCATCACCTTTTGGATAAGAAAAGGAAAGTTACATATAAATAAGGTAAATTTTAAAATTCCAACACTCTTGGAATGGGTTGTATATATATCTGTATATATTTTATAAATGTGTGTGTTGTTGTATGTCTGCATGTGCATGCCTGCATGGTACACCATTGAGATAAATGCAGCTATTGCTACAAATCACAGGGATGTTGGCAAAGGTCCTCTTTTGATTTAAAACTGACTTTTACTTCAGTATAAATTTGAAGGAATGTTATCCCTAAGGCTACAGGTAGCTCATTTAGCAGTGACGTAACTGGAGCCACATTCACTTTAACCTGTAAAAGATGCTCCCTCCCTCTCTTTCGGCACTTCAAAAGTTTGTTTGCTCAAATGCCTAATTGAGTGTTGTAAGTCTAAGGTTCATGAAATTGTCACAACATATTGACTGAAAGTTGTATTGGCTATGGTGCCAGCTAGCACATCTCACTTGAGCTTAATGTCACAGGATTTTAGAAAAATTATTTTGGGACAGTAACATTCTGTTCAAGGCTCTGACAACAGAGTTAAATAACTCCTGGGAAACTGTCAATTTTGTAATAATTTCATTACATAAGGATATCACATTTGAATATTATTAAGCTCACTACAGCCAATGTGTAAGATTTGCTGAAAAACCGACAAGAAAATCATAGCCATAGGAGAAGAAATCAAAAATTGATTTTTTTTTGAGCAGAATCTAATTTGTTACAAATTACTGAATTCTAGAATAAGTTACATGTAAGTTGTTTGCTTTTGCCAAGGTTGTTTCACAGTGACTTGAATACATTAGCTCAGTGGATGCCAGTTTACATAAATATTTAACAAGAAAAATTGAAAAATTAGTCAAGTGGGATTTTAAAATTAAATATTCCAGTTATCAATTTGACCTTAGCATTTTTTGTTTGGTTTGTAAATGTTTTCAGTTTTTCAGCTCGTAAGTTCTCATGTTGCTTTCAAACTCCTACCTAAACCTATGTCTGTGGTGGTGTTATAACCTGTTCCATAATCATTATGAATTGCTAAAAATAACAGATTTCTTTAAGAATCTTTTTAGAATTTACCTTAAAAGGGTGGCATTACTTATTATAATTGGTTTCAGATATGATACAAAACAGGTGTTGATTTCTTCCATTGCCTGAGTGAAGAAATTTTAACATTTTCAAGGATTGCAGACATAACTTTGGATAATTTTAAAGACCACATTTTTTTCTTTGCAACTAATGATTCACCCAAATGCATTATTTTGCAAAGAACAGCAGAGTGAGGTATTTTGAATAATGCAGAATGTAGAAAGTAAAATTGGAAAGTTAGGCGCCTTCATCATCCTGGCCTCGATATTTGTCACCTTAAAATCACTAGTATTTGGAAGGTGAATTTCATGACAGAGTTCACATGAATGTCCAATTATTATGGCATTCCTGACTGCAGTAGAAATCAACATTATCAGCCATCAGTTCCAAAAAAAAAAAAAAATAGAGAACAGAGTATCATAATTTGGAATAAACTGATCTAATCTTAGATCTAAAATCATTAAATTGCTATTTTGGTATTCTGTGGCAATTTGTACCTAAAGGTAATTAAAAATCATGAAAACCCATCTAAATGATGATTGTTAATATCTGTATGACTGGGATGTTAAAACATAAACTTTACAAATTGATTATGCAAACCCTCCTCATTTCCAGTGACTTGTGGAAGTATTTCACTACTTCCTGGTCTGATCTGCTGTTTGTTAATCAGTCTTGTTCCCACAAGCTGTTGCCAGAGCTATTGTTATTACTTCATCAACATTTAGTGTCTTAAAATCATAGTTTTATGTCTTAATTTCACCAGGAAAAACATTGAGATCAATGTCATAGATGATGAAGAATATGAAAAGACAGAAACCTTTTATGTTGTCCTTGGGGAACCAAAAGTTGTCAAAGATGAGGATGATGACAGTGGAGCTAGTACTGATGTAGGATATGATCCAGAAAAGGAGCGTCTTGAAGAACTGGGGAAGCCAAGATTAGGTACCAAAGATATTCTGTGCAAATCATGAAAAGAGAAGAAATCATGTGCCATCTTAATAGGAGAACAACAATAATTCACAAATGCAGGCTAAAGTATAGTACACAACAAATAATATCACATTCTAAACTCAGTTCTTTGATTACTCAAGAGGGTTCTTTAAAGTGCCCCCGAGACGAAAATTGACCATTTCATTTTGGCCTAAATTGTTTACACAATGTTGAATTGGGTCAAGTTAAGACCCTTTTTGCCATTAAAAACTCAAAACAAACCTTCGATGACCAATTTTTACCACTTCAAAGTTGTCCAAAAATCGTCCACCATTGCTGAAAACATGTTCCAGCCGAGCCCGCAAAAACGTCATCATGACCTCAAAGGCTCAACAAACTTATGCTTTACTTGCTCACAACTCTCTTTGTTCACTGCACAGAGAATCACACATATTACTTTTTTGAGAACTGTTTCGTTGTCAGTCGAGAAATGTCGACTTTTGCAGACGATGAATTGTCCCAGAAATCATCTGAAGCTTCTGTGGATAGTTTTGCGCCGACAAATGATGAATTTTTGCCATGCGAATAAGGATAAACACAGAACGGCACGGACTCCCCATGTGGCTTTTGTAGTCTCATTGCTTTATCGCCTTCGAACTGTATTTTTGCATGTCATAAGCGAATTTCCTTTTTTGTAAGAAATGATGGGGTGATTAGTAAAAATAGTTTTTGGCAATGGCTAATTGTGTATCCGAAGGCAGATATTGGGACCTTGTGAAAGCCATTTCTAAGCCATCTCAATGATTGTGTTTTCCCCGATGCATTTGGTCAATGATCTCATTAACCCTTTCCTACGTGTTTTTTATTATTGGTGCTTTGAGAAGTTTGAAGTAAACTCTGTTGTTGGGTGGTCTCTTTTGTTTTTTCTGTCTAATTCATGATGACTATTGTTGTTTTGCTTCGGTGAGGTTTAAAGCAGAGTTTGTTTCAACTCTTTTAGAGCCGTGACCTTGTTGCGTTACAAAGTATTTTGTGGCTTAGGTGCAGTCTGCAAGTAGCGTTATGACAATTTTCCAAGTAGCTCTGAAGGGTGATAGAAGACTGAACCGGTGGCATTCAGTTTGATATGAAACAGAAGTGGTTCTTTGTTTTGTCCGTGATAGGTGTAACGGAGGCACATTCCTCTTGTGAATAAATCTCACAAAAGTTGGCCTGATTTTAAATTCGTTTGTCATGGGCATTGGGATGAATTTGAGACCCTTTGATAGCACGCTGACTTGGCTGTCAGATGGTTGATAGTTTGACATGTTTTTAAAGAAATTTTCATTTTCTCGTTTTTTTTGGCCGCAAGCCTACATTTTAAAGTACTAGTGTTTTTACACTCTGTGTCTTAAGCTGTTTGTTCTACTTTTGCTGATATTAAAGCCAGCCTTTTTTAGAATCAGAGCACACAATTATATTTTTCATCTCTTTTGTATAAAAGTGAGCTCTTTGAGGTCAGAAATCTCATTCCTCAATTCGGCTATTTTATCATTCTTATTTACAGTGTTCACCGAGTACTTTCCTTTGTGTAAGGTATTCTGCCAGAGAGTTGTTAAAGGTGGATAATGATCCGCTCATATGTAATGGTAACAAAATCTATGGAGGTTCGTAGACTTTGCTTTCCGGCGTCGAGATCGCACGGAGAATGGTTTTTCTTGTCCCTTCTCTTCTCGAACGGTAGGCACTGAACCCAACAGAATTCTTCACCTAGATCCCTCAAGGTACACAGGTCTCTCGAAACAGTCCTCTGAGAAGTGTTCGGAGTAGATCACAAATATTTCTGTAGGACTGAAGTTTACTCAGCGAGGTCGCACAAATCGTATCCGTTTTTCCCGCTCTGATCTATTCGCAAGGCTCCAATGCAGAAAAATACCTGCAGCATGGTCTGCTCAATTACTTCAGCTTTAAATTACGCATTGATGCCCAGTCATTTTTGTTTAGTTTTTGTAAGAATAGAGTAAAGCACTCTGTTATGTTTGCTTGACATTTTGCCATGTGAGATTTTCGCGTTGAGCCTTTGATGTCACTTCCTCTGAGTCCTGCGATCAACTTCCGGAACATGATCAAATAATGGCGGACACGAAATTGTGAAATTAACGGCCCAAAAAAAGATATTTCTGGTGCTTGGTCTAAACTGTAATTGGGCAGAGTAGGTGAAGGAGACACACTGAACACGAAAATGGAAAAAAAAATGATGTATGAAAATTTTGATCTCAGGGGCACTTTAAGTTGCTGCTTGATAAAAACCACACAACTTTATATCAGTGCTATAATTTATCTTCTTCATGTTTTATTTATATCAGGTGATGTACCTAAGGCAGAGGTCACCATATTGGAAAGCAAAGAATTCAAAAACACAGTGGACAAACTGCTGGTCAAAGCTAATTTAGCTCTTGTTGTTGGTACCTCCTCCTGGAAGGAACAGTTCATTGATGCCCTGACTGTGAGTGGGAGTGGTGATGATGATGACACTGATGAGCCTACAACACCAACTTATGGTGACTACATGATGCACTATCTGACTGTCTTCTGGAAGCTTTTGTTTGCCATTGTTCCACCCACAGACATCTGGGGTGGCTGGGCTTGTTTTGTTGCTTCCATTGTAATGATTGGTGTGTTAACAATGGTCATTGGTGATGTAGCTTCCCACTTTGGTTGTACCATTGGATTAGCAGACAGTGTTGTTGCCATAACCTTTGTTGCTCTTGGAACAAGTCTTCCAGGTAAAAAAACAAAACAAAGCAAAACAAAAATTTGCTTAGAGCACAGCTTACACATGCATGCTTGTGCCTGTTGGTAAAATCTTGGTCTGTTTCACAAGTGTTACGTGCACGAATGACAAACAAATGTCCGCTAACAAAGCTTATATGAAAATAGACTCCCGAGTACGATATATGGCACCCAACAAAATGTAACAACAAGCAATTACCCATTTTAACTATTATTTAATTGGTTTTACATTGTCTAATTTACTTGGGTTAAAGATTAAGTTAAGCAGTTCATAAAGCAGGCTTACAATCCTTTATGCCGTAGAAGTGTTCATCGTCTTGATCAACCTCCAATTCCAACATCCGCCGACTGAAGACCACAGCGCTTGGCTTTCTTGATTCATGGCTTTCTTTCCATGTACACAAATTCTTCCGGAAGACTTCATAGTGAACTCTAAATTCTTTATCTCCTTCCTCTCTCGGCTTTCGTATTTTTCTTCTCTTTCTTCTCTCCGGATATCGCAAGGTGAAAAGGTTGTAGCCTTGTCATATCATAGCTTCCACAAGTTCAGTCAGCAAGCCAGGAGGGTAAGCCCTCGGGCAAATCTCTTTATGTACTTCTCACAAGCCAACTTTTATACATTTACTTAGTTATCTAGAATGTTCTATTACTATTTATAGTGTATTACAAGTTGTGCTATTTTTGGAAACTGTTGAGTCACACGAAAGAAGTTTCTGGAATATTACAGGTTATAGATAATTCTAGAAAAGTCTGGGATTACGTGACAGATTCAGTGAAAATAATTTGATCCTCGTAACACAAGGTTGAGCTAAAACTCCTGGCATGGGTCACTGATCTATTATTAAAACAGTGAGAGCCTCTTTCTATGTAGGAGTGAAAGTGGGTATGTGCAAGGAAAGAGTTGAATGATGGATGTTCTGCCAATTATCTTACCATGGGGAATGGAGTGTAAGAAACTCCAGCATCCCTAAGTTGCCATTTTTTTTTTGTTGCAATAATTTTTAATTACAGTTTTGTTGACTTTTCCACAGATACGTTTGCCAGCAAAGTTGCTGCAGTTGGGGATGAGTATGCAGATTCATCCATTGGTAATGTGACTGGTAGTAATTCTGTCAATGTCTTCCTTGGCCTGGGTGTGGCATGGTCTATTGCAGCAATAGCTAAAACTGCAAGAGGTGTCAAATTTGAAGTTCCTGCCGGTAGTCTTGGCTTTTCTGTAGTAATATTCTGTGTTACTGCTGTAATAGCTATAGCTGTTATGATGCTTCGTAGAAATAAAAGAGTTGGGGGAGAATTAGGGGGTACCAAAGCGTATAAACTTCCAACATCACTTTTCTTTTGTTTCCTTTGGATATTTTATATTGTCATGTCTTCTTTACAAACATATTGTCATATTGATGTGTCCTTTTAGGTTTTTTCCAAATTAGGGAAAAATGCTTTTTCTGTGTCAACTAAAAACTGCAACAAAGAAGATCCTATAATAATTAAAGACTCACAAATATCTTTGATACAAGTATCAGTCTGTATTTTCAAAATGCAATTTTGGAGATAGCAACAAATATTTCTGAATTATTAAAAGCCACAATGGCTAACAATAATATCAATCATGCAAATCAAAGAATGAATGCCATGCCTCAATATATGTCATATTTAACACTCTAGAACTTAAAAATAATTCTCAAGATAAGGAATGCTGCATTATTACATATCCTATTTAACTGCTCTAGAATAGCATTCTTCTTACCTTTCATGATATAAGCGGAGGGTGAAGAAAGTAGTCAGAAATAAAAATCACCCTGATATCAATGGGAAAAAGCAATTTCCTGTGCACCCTTTTTCAAAACTATAACTTGAACATAGAATTTTTCATATCTGGCCTGAGGTATTTTGGTTTTCCAGTCTCTGTGTCTAACTCTTACTTTGCTCAGAAATTATATCTGGAACATTTTTTTCTCTCTCTTGTCTCTCTACTGGAATTTGGGTTTTGCATGATGATCAATTTTAAATAAAATCAGTCTGAGCAGTCACTGCAGTTGTGAAGAATGAGGAAGGCTTACATTGAGATGTTGCTTTGTCTCTCTGTATGCCTGTTCCATGTACAGCTGTACCTTTCTTCACAGCCGAGCAAACAGCAATGTTATGGTCACTGAGCAGTGAAAATAACATCAGTCGTTAGATGGTAATTTATACAAGATTTTCAGTTTATAACATCAACTATGTGAGTACTTTATTTTTATTTATTGTTTTAGCCTTTTCAACTTCTTGAAATTATAATAGAGTACTGAAATGATAATACTGATAATCATTAACATTTTAATTATGCATTATTCAACTAAGTTTGCCATTTATGGTGTTGTCAGTTACCAGTGTTTTATGCTCAGAGGCATGGTATTTTATAATGAAGAAAAATATTTTCAATGTAAAATAGGGCAGGCCCCAAGCATACCTATTACAAAGGATTCCACTAGAGTGTGAATAGCAAACGTTTGAAGAAATTTCAGAGATCTCAGATTTTAAAGCATACAAGAAACTTTTCAAATAATAATAATAATTCTAAGGTCCTTAGTTGTTTGGGAAATTTTGCATGGCAATACTTATCAGGTAAACTTAGGAATTTAACTGTCAATCAATATATCAAAGTTTGTGGTAAGTTAGGGCAATTGTTTCTTTGCAGGCTTTTAAGCTTTATTATTTTGACATGCTCCATCTAGTTCTGGACTGATAATGACAGTATCCTGCTGCTGTCTTTGGTTTGTTTTTATTTACAATCCCAAATAGCCACAGCAGATGTAAGCACAAAATTTCAAAATTTAGTAGTCAGAGCACTAAATAGTATTTATGGTATAACACAAAATAATATACAGTGTATCACTTGAAGTCTCCAAGTAACATTTACAGAATGAACCAGATCAGTTGGAAATGGTAAGAATTTATCAGCTCCTTCCATCTCTTTTACAGCAGTATTTGACACTGTAAGAAAGTTAGTCTTTGAGAGAGTCAGCATTTTGGTTCCTACCAAAATGTTATGGATACATTGAAGATGAGGCTTGAAAATCTATTAGGACTGCACTCATTGCAGTCCCACCCAAGATGTTCATACCTGATGCAAGATCATTCAACTTGGAAAAAATTCCTGACTCTTAATGATTTTCCATTGGTTCACAGATTGTTACTATAGACTGCTGTAATGATGAACTGTTTTCATGAGATGTTAAAAGTATTATTTGGAAGAACTGTTGAAATTGATAATATTTATGCCAGATAGCTGCAGGACATTTTGTATCATAAAATAAGATGTTTCCTTCCCAAATAACTTTTGAATTTACACCAAGCCTTTGGATGCCTCTTGACTATTATATTAACTGGTAGTAGTAAGCTGATAATGGGAATTAAGTAAGCTGTTGCTATTACTTTCAAGATTTACATGATGTAATGGTTGCAAAAGGCTGTTGGTGACATGGTTAAGCTCACTATTGGTATTATTATTATTATTATTATTATTATTATTATTATTATTATTATATTGATATTATTATCATTGCTGTTTTATAAGTCATTACGTTTCTTTGACCATTTTAAATAATAACATGCACAGATGTTTTAGGAAACCTTTATATAACAGGTCAAAGTGAAGTTAATTTTCCATTTATATTTGTTAATATTTCTTGGGTAAATTTATGGCACCTCAATTTTGTAGGTACTCATGTTTAGGAGGTATCCACTGTCTGCAACTGCTCAGAATATTATGCATGTTTTGGTGCAAGCCGTAAAAATCAAAGGGAAGGACAATCACAACTTTAAAATATGTGCAATTAGGTGTATAAATATGTCATTATGCAGTTTGGCTGTGCAAAAATACTACTGTATTATGTAGTGAAGTGCAACTATTATAACGTACAACTATTGCTATTTTCTATTAGGTATTCAAAAGCATAATTTATTTCATTTAAGTCATATGTTATAGGCAAAGGACACCTATTTTAATGATAAAGCCCTTCCAGACTTTTTACAGCAATATTAATGTAAGCCCTTGCATAGTTAACATTTAATTGTTCCCTCTATTAACTATGGCCCTTGCTGAAACACTTAACTACATGGTGTCTTGTTAGAAAGGTTATATAAACAAGACAAAAGGCAGCCAAAAGGTGACTTACTTTGTAGGGAATAGTTTAGGGAAAATAGAATTTTGAAAGATTCTCTCAGACATTACCAATGTTTCTTGAAAGTATTATATGAGAGCTTAAAATAAACATGTTGAAAGATGTCTGGTGTTGTTGTATCAGTTTTTTTAAACAGGATGGTGGACTGAGCCACCCAGATTTTTCCCTGCCTGTTTCTGTTATGTCAGTGGAGAAACCTAAGTCTAGAACGAAGACCCCACTGAAACCTCTATGGGAGTGGACATATCATACTGGAGTGAGGTCTAGATGCTACCAAATTTGATGCTGAATTTCTATATTAATCATTCAATTTTAACATTTTATTGCACATCCACGACCATCACAAGTTATCGAGGATAATAAAACAAATATCTGGACTACGGATAAAATCTGCTAAGCTACTTATAACGCATGAAAATGAGACAATTTGGTTTTGTCAACTGAGTTGATAATGCAGACTGGCAACCGTAAATAGTTTTACAGCTTGTTATACGCCCCTTCTGTTGTACCACCCCAGTTTCTAGAGAAAATTTACCCTCTTTATTCATGCGTATGAAAATAAGCTGTGAGTTGTGCATTGGAATCAGGTTGGTTAGCTTCAGTGTCCTGGAAATTTTTTTTTTTTTTTTCATAGTACTCAAATGGTTGACAATTGATTGCCAAGGTGGAGGTAAATGGTGGTAGAAACAAACAAAAAATCCCTATTCATGTAAAAGTTGATAGTCTACTCCAAGCATTGCTTTCAGGTAAAAACGTAATGCAGATACCGTTAGATGTGGCACTTAAAACTAATAACCCATTATGGATAGTCAAAATGTTAATGTATCTAAAAGCCATGTGAATCACAGAAGTATGAACTAAACAAAAACTTTGTGTGCCTTTGCACTAACTTACATTACACCAGCAGTGCCCTTGAAATAAGGTTCACAAAACGAAAAAAAAAACATCACACTCACCCGGGGGCGCCAGATAAAGATGGAATCCTGGTTCAACAAAAATCAGCGACAAAGCCTCCTTGCTCATGAAAAAACATGATGGTTACTCACTTTTTCGCCATTCTCTGGGTCTTTCATTCAGAATGCAATACGCTTTGCTGTATCTAAATAGCCTTGCACTCCTTCAAAGATAAATTTCAAACCGTGGTGCCTCGGTGAAAAGAATCTATCTCAGGCATTTCCGGGCACACGGGCTAACACAGAGCATTTTTAAACAAAATCAATCTCTATTGTAATATTCTGTAAGGTCAAAAGGGAGTGTAACCATAGTCATGGTTATTCCGGCTTGCTCGACCGGTGATCATGCAGCTTAAAGAAAAATACTTCTCTTTGGAAGATGGAAGTGCAAAATCGTACGAATAGGAGACATTGAGAGGTTGTAGTAAAGGCTAGACGCACCCACACTGGAGGGACGTGCTGCTTCTGAGCCTTTCAGAAGTCAGACAAGGAATAAGTCCAAAACTGACATGCAGATTCTAATCACAAACCAGGAAAAGCAAGAAATTTTTGAAAGGAAAATCTCTTAAGTGGAGAGTTTTACAAAGCAACAGCAGCGATAACCGTGCACACATATGAATCTTCCCGATGTTATTTACTTACCACATTTTGAGGTTCCAACAAGCAACCTAGCCTTTGAAAATTTGACTTAAATTGGCCAGAAATTCAAATACTAATTCCACCATTTAGAAAACAACTCATCAGCCTGGCCGCACAAACAGCATTTGGCTACTTGCCCTTCCATTTTGCCCGCCTTCCTGTTCCAAACACTGTCGATAGATAGACAGATAGATAGATAGATAGATAGATAGATAGATAGATAGATAGATAGATAGATAGATAGACAGATAGATAGATAGATAGATAGTTTATTTGTAAAAAGCTTGCAGCCACTGAGCTGAATCATGTATTTACAATAAAGTAAAAAATATAACTTATTATAGTAATATGATAGTATTAAAGTCCTGGTAATAATTATCTGGAGATCACTTTTCTTGTATTGATCAATAAAGAAGGACACCAAGCATAGCTAACAATGGATCTTTTTATTTATGACTGGTACAGGTTTTGCATTTAGAAACTCTTCCAATGTTAAATTAGATTACAAACAATTACCCTCTGTTATGGTGCTAAAGGCAAGGAGAAAATTGAATTTTCTTTTCCTCCTGAACTTCAATTTGTCACCATCAAAGCTTCAAAGGAAGAAGACTTGGAGAGTTTTAGTTTTGCATCAGCAATTTACTCACAACAACTTGAAGCACTAGTGTTGCAATTAATGTAGATTTACATACAGTATGAGTAGATATTACATTTTGGTCACAATATACATCAACAACAAACCAAAAGGTGGCTCAACATTTAAGGCATTATCAAAACTAAACAGTCTTGTAAATTAGGTTCAAATACAAAATCAACAATGCAGGCTCATTTTCTAATTGTTTTAAGTAAAGCAGAACAAATTGCTTTGCAGTTATGTTATAATCATACTGGTGATGTATGAGACGAGTTTGAAGAGAGAAAATAGAGCTCTTTCAAGACATTCTTGCATCCATACGGACACAATCATTATTGTAGGCTTCTTAGTGTTTTCTAGATATTACGTATCCCTATTTGATACAGTTTCCTTGTGTAAGAAGTCTAAATAAGTTTATGAAATACTTTAAGTGAGGTCTGGCTCCTCATTCATTCCTTTTTTGATTCGTAAAAGCATTGTAGTCAGCCACTGATCTATTCTTGATATACTATCATATTCCTTGACCTATCAAGGAGAAGCCAAGTGACAAAACATATTAATAGAGGTGTATCATTAGGAAAGGTAAGGAGAGGGGAGGGACAGGCCCTTCCCACCCCACCCCCCCGTTTCATCTTGGCTATCAACCACTCCACTCCCCAACCTTTCCCTGCTTTAAAAATCCAAGATGGTGGCCAAATTTCGCACATGAATGAATACACTAAATGCGTATTTTGCATAATTACCCTTCCTTTACAGGGGTGTAGCAAGTCATTTTTGGCTTGTAAGTCTGTTCCATGTCCCATAAGTATAGTGCAGCCGGGGAAGGTATATACATTCCAAGAAAAAGTAAATATTGCGAGAAAAGTTTGTAACCCCACACTTACTGACTTACAGGGAGCTACACACCTATCAGGTATTTGGTTTACAAAATTTATATTAATCTAAACAACTCACAGCTTCAGTGAAGGACTCTGCATTCTGCTCTTCTTGGGCAACAAGGAGATTCTGAACATTAAAAAAAAAAAAAAAAACATTTTAGTACCACAATGAAACCATTGAAGATCAAATATATTAAATAGAATACAATTTTAATTAGCTTAATGTACAAACTGACTCAAATTGTGCAAAGGTTTTTAATTAGCTTCTAGTTATTTCTTCTCTTTGTATCTTTTTATTGTCTGTTTACACCTGCTAATTTTTATATGTATTCTTTGTTTCAGTTTTATCGTTCACTTGAATATGAATGAAGTATCGTAGAAATGTTGTTTTTTACTGTTTAGTTTTATTGTCAAATCTTTCAACTTTACTTATTTAGACTGGATGTATTAGCAAATCTGTTGATAAATAATTACCTTTAGCAGTTTACATTCTCTCGTGTCTTCAAAAGCTGGGTACATATTGCAATATTTTTCCACTGCTCTCTGAGCTTCCACAACATCAATACACATTTGACAAAGAGCTGCCTTGAAAAAGTATTCTTTAGCACTGTACTTCAGCAATGAACTTTCGATAGCATCAGCAGCAACCTGAAAGATCACATCAGGTTGCCTTCCAGACAAACAACAAGGTTTTCCTGTATTTTCTTCTAGGATTCAGTGCTTTTTTTCTAACTAAAGATACAGTATGCAAGTCAGAGAGTTTTGGTCTAGAATATGATCATTGTATTTTGTATGAAACTGATCAAGGTTACAACAAATTCTCTGTAGACTAATCAAGCACTGAACAAAGCTTTGAAAACCATTTCCAAAATGTTCACTCCTTTCAGAAAGAGCAAATTGGGTTAGGATATCAAGAGAGTTTCTGAGAATGCCAGGCAGGAGGTGGAATTGACTCCTGCAATGTCAAGTCTCAATAAAACTTATGTACTCCAGTGAAGGCTAGGGCTACATAACTAAGCATTTAAACTACCCAAATTATGTATAATTTGTCAAAATGCAAACCTGTTCATAAATCTCAATAGCCTTTCCATATTCCTCCATCTGGGCTGAAAATGTAGCAACTTTCAATAAGCACTTGTTTGCTGAGCTGAAGATGATAGAAATTTACCATGATTTTTTAATATAAAAGATGCAAAAAAAGAAAAATTGACATTATAATTTTGTGAGTCCATTTGATGTCTTTAAGTTGTCTATTGATACACCTTATTCTCCTTTTAAGTTCTTTATTATTGGTAAAAATGCATTTCCCAACACATAAACTGAATAGGAGTGCTCTGGCAGTAACCAGACCAAAACTAAAAGAAACATTTTCCAACTCCTAAGTTTACACATTCAACCTATACGATGAAGTACACTGGATCTGGTCATTATTCCGTCTCAGAGTCTCAAGGAAAAGATATGAAGCCTTAATGGCTCTCATGATATTGTAAATAATTTATCATTAAGAGTCAGTAGATAAAATGAACTTTCAAAATGTTTAAAGAGGAATAGTAGCTTCACCTGGTTGACTCTTCGCCTCTATAATACTGTGCAGCTTGTTCATAGTGGAATATTGCCTGACAAATAAATTATTAAAATTGACATTCACCTTGGATCCATTAAGTACACAGCTTTTACGACACTTGAACTACTGACACAAAAGAGTTTATAAAATCCTTGCTTTAGTGCAGTCTGTTATTCAGTGGAAATTAGTTTGAGTTCAAATCTCCATGGTGGGATATACACTAGTTCCAGGAAATACCCAAATCAATCAAAAGAAGGCTGATTGAAGTTTTATCATAGCTCATCAGTATGAGCACAACTCACATACATTCTGGGAGGAATCTAGAAGGGTGTCTGAAAATTTTTGAGCAAAAATTCTTCCTTACAACACATGTTCAATTTCATGGAAAATCCTTGTTGCAGTCAATTTAAAGAAACAGCAAACCTTCTCAAACAGTTACACCTATAAAAACTCCTCTTATCATACACCAAATCTAACTAAGCATTGCTGAGAACCTAGGTATGTAGTAAAATCCACAGCCTGAGCAAGTCAGCTATTAGAAGATTTGTTGTTTATTACTTTTTCCAAGTCAACAGCATTGCTCTCATACATCTCGGCTACTGTAATGTGGTGTTTTGCAGCCATTGTAAAACGGCCCTTATGGAGAAAAAACATGTTAAATATAAATTAATATAAAATATAACACATGAATGAAACACGCGAGTGCAGTTTAGCCTTATACCTGAACAATGCCCATAAAAATCATGTGCATTCTTGAGTTTAGCACCAAACTCATTATTTTCTTTCAAGCTGACATAAGTCATGCCATTAAATATGGATAGAGTTGGTCATACAGAACAAAAGAAAGCAATCTTTTGAGCTCCCTAACGAGAACATTGTACTTGTCTACTGAGAGGTTTCCAATATAAAGAACAGCAGTAAACATGTTAAAGGCATTTTGAAAGTATCTTCACCACAATTAACAAGTTGTCCAAAGGTGTAAATAGGAAAAATAATTAAATGAAAAAACTCATCACAGAACCAAAAGTCAAAAGATTTAATAACCATGTCAGTATAAATGTTGATGGCCATTTCATAAGCTCTTACAGCCTCTGCAAAAAACAAGAAAAACAAACAACTTAGAGATCAAACTCTAATTGATATCCAGTGACATCCTCTAAAAAGAACCATCCACTCACCATAAACATACCTTCTAAAAAGGAGTATTCTTACAGCCTCCCCTTAAAGATGGTGAGTGCAGCCGAAATGCAACACTGAGTGTGTTGTCTTCTTTTCTAAATAGGCTAATATTTAGATATAATTTACGGTGGCTCGTACCAGTTTTCGTCTTTTTGATGGTTTGTAACTTTGAAAGAATACAACAGAAAGACTGACCAAGGCCAGTTGAACACTTTTACGGGGTTGAATTATATAATCATTGGTTATCCAAAAACAGGTGTCATTTCGTCACTAGCAGTTTCCATGGCAATGCTTTCATAGGCTTATTCAGATGCATTTTTTAGCTTGTGGTTTAAATAATTCGAAAACTAACCCGGCGACCCCATGATTTTTTTCAGTGATTGTTTCTGGCACTTGAAAAGGAAAATGCACAAAGATTTTTAAAAAATTCTACGGAGCAGAATTTCAGAAAATCTAGAAAAAAGGCAATTTTCAGACATCGCAAATTTCCTTCCATAGAATTTTCTAGTTTTTTTTTCTGATGATTCCTATCGACATTATTATCATATTGGAACAATAAAAAGAAGGGGTCACCAGACTTGTTTTCATGCAATAGCTTTCGTGAGTTTAGCAATTTCCACGCGCGTTCTCGTGCATTTAAAAATCTGGATTCTATAAGATCGACATCTGCTCATGATGTGTTATAGCTATCACTGACAATTGCATGTGCTTGCGCGCGCCCCTACGACCTGAGGTTTACAGACATTTACTGCTAATTAAGAAAATCATTAAACAGCTGTCAAAGATAGCCTCCCAGGCTCATCTTAAAAATCCTACACACGACTTCTGGCTATATCATATTATTTTCCTTTAAGTTTCAAAGTCTTCTTCCACTTCAGGTAGATTATCCTTCACTTGAGTTCTTCTTTTTTCGCTGTCACAAGATTTCGTATCAGTTGAATATTTCTTTTAAATGTGAAGTAAAGCAACCTTTACTTCTCCACAACTCGTCTTCTTTATCTTAGTTTCTATCTCCTGCATTCACAGTAGCCACTCAACACATTAAATACAAGCTCTTAGGTAAACTTCTCACAAAAGTAGAAAAAATTCCATACGCTGCCATCTTTGTTTTGAATTTTCATCTTGATCTTGCGCTTCTTTCACACGTTTCTCTTGCGCACATCACGCAAGAGTGACCTGTTCCCCGCGCGAGGAAACTGGTATGAGCCACCTTAATATAGGTGATGAGCAAGCCAATTTTTGGCCTGCCTCTTAGGTATTTTAGGGGATTTCTACAGTCATTGTTACACAGAATATGTAATTTTATCTTATAGCAAATTAAAACTTATCATTATTTATCATCAATATTTATTTAGCGAACATTCTTAATTTTGCTGACAACTCCACCATTTTCCAATGCCAAATGAACATTCTCCAATTTAAACCAGGGATATTCCATGATAATCAAAATGTATTAAACAGTTCAAAATTCATACCTTCTACATCTGTTTTCTTAAAACAGTTCCCAGCATCAACATAACGCTGTCCTGCCTCGTGTTTGGACTGCAAATTGACCTGTAATTGGGCTGCTTCCATAAATGCTTTCCCGGCAGCTGTATGATTAAGAAAACAATCGTTTTAAATAATTTTGAATATTTAATTCAGAAGCAAAGTAAGTCTATGTTAAACACTTGCTATAGACAACTTAGAATCCTTCCATACACCAACAAACCACAAGTTAAAACTATTTTTTCATTTTGGTCACAGTAACAAACCATTTATAAAACTGATGTGGAAATCTTCCAAGACCAAGCTGATCACGAGTCATTATGGCTACTTCAGATTGGCCAATCAACTATTCATCTACCCCCTGACTATGGAAGAAATGGATCATTACCCTAGGCTACCTCAGGGGTCCTGTGAGTAGGCTCCTTTCATGTCTACTTATTAATAAAATGGTCAATAGTCAAATGAAAAATTTGTTGCTAGTTAGGTAATGGTCAGGCAATAGTAGACTGAAAGTAAAATAATGGTCAACAACTGTAGCAATGTTTCAACAGTTACTTGATGACTCCACCAAAACATCAACAAACTATTAATTATATCATGAAATTGTCCATTTTTAAATCAGCCCCTGTCAATTGACTTTCCATCCACTTTCACAAGCAACTGACTGTTGACTGGGGTTATGTACAACTTGCATACAAAGTCCTCAGCCCACCCCTCATGCAATTGTTGGTCAGATCATGGGAGTGGAGGCATACATATGCACCCTTGATAGTGTAGGTTGGTAAAACATTTTGTCACACGTGATATGCACTCAAACAAACAACAGACAATCCCTCTCAGTTAAGTGCATTAACTGTGATATCAGTCATGTAATTAGAGAACATAAAGACACATACCACTCCATTTTTGTGCCATTTTAAACATGTTGCCAGCACTAATATACATCTCCGCGGCGTCTTCAAGCTTTGAAGTACCCCTAACGCAATCGAGAAAAATTTCGTCTGTTCAGCTAGCATGAAACTTCAAATCTCTACCTAAGGCCATACAAATTACGGGTCTAAATGCAACTAAATTCAGCAGTTATTCACCCAAACTTACCCAAATAATCCACCCAAAAAACCCTGTGACGATTTCACTTTCTTCTCAGCCTGATTAATAAGATCGATTGCTTTCTCTTCATTAGACATACTCTCACTGATAGTTTCTAGGTAAGACACTGGTAAGATAAAGACATTTATCCACACAGTTCTTTGTGGAAAACTTCGCTAACTTCCCTCTTCCCGTGATCGTCGTCTTTCAAGTTGACGTCACTAACATTCTACGTCCGGGTAAACTGGGGCGAGAGTATATCTCCCAGCATGCATCCTAGGTCTAGTAAAATTCAAGATGGCGGACGAAATAGCGCGGGAAACAACAATTTCTTGAGACAGACATTTTGGCGTATTTTTACATTTTCCGAGCAATAGTAGTCAGCGTCAGGCATCATTAACCGATAATTTCTTTATTTTTAACAAAATGGGGGTAAGTTATGCCTTAGAAGCTTATAAGGTCAGAGTTTATATGGCTGATGTACGTGCACTGCAATCGATCGGAAAGCTCTTTTGTTTTAAAACTTTCATCCATACATGATGCATACTTTTTTCTTTTAATTTTGTGTTTCATATCCATAGAAAAAATCATCCAAAGGCAAGGAGAAAAAGCTCAAAAGGAAGGAGGTAAGTATTGAAATACTTCTTAGCAAGAAAGGGTCCACCTCGCGAGGGGCTTTTTTCGAGCCTTTGATCGAGAAACCAATCAAGGAATTAGCTAAGTATTATTAAAGAATACAAATTCTTCTTTATCTGGACGAAATGTTTTTATTATTTCATGGGGAAGGTCTTGTAGATCTTTATCTTTATATCATTTATAGTTGAGGTTTTCTTCTTGCTTATCCAGACTTTTAAATTCATTCCGCATATTAAGCTGATCACATGGTTTTGAAGTTATATATCACCGGAAAAATTTCCAAAAAACCATGATTGTTATTTGTTATTCCCATTATGGGAATAATTAAATTCCCATTTTTACAAAATTACCATTAATGGAATTTTTCCTTGGTAAAAGTATGACTGACAATAGCCATTAATGTAAATTCAGTCTCCTAAATGTAATTTTGTGAAATCCCATTAATGACAATAACGGTAATTAAACCATTAATGGGAATTTAAAATCCCATGATAGTATTCTATACATAAACCATTAAAGAGAAAGTGATTAAACCCATTCATGTTAATTTTGTAGTACAGTTCATTATGTAAAATGTTAAAAAACCATTAAATGTGAATCAAATAAATAAAACTGGAATAATGGAAATTGAAAATCCTATGATAGTATTCTATACAAAAACCATTTAGAGGAAAGCAATGAAACCCATTCATGTGGATTTCTTAGTACAGTCCGTTATATAAAATGTAGAAATCCCATGAATGTATAATAACTTGATAATACAGTGATGGGAATTTTAAATCCCATGATAGTATTCTATACAAAACCATTAAGAGGAGAGTAATTAAACCCATTCATGTGTATTTTATGATACATTCCATTTTGTAAAATGCAGAAATCCCATAATAGTATTCTATAAAAGAAATCATTAATAAGAGGAAAGTGATTAAACCCATTCAAGTGTATTTATAGTACAGTCCATTATGTAAAATGATGAAATCCCATGAATGTATTAACATAATAATAATATAATTAAGGGAATTTAAAATCGTTTATACACTTTCCATATGCACTATATATAGTGCATGTGGGAAGTGTATAAACAACTTTGAATATCTTTGATGTGGGTTTTAACTAGAAATACATGTTTTCCACATAGCCAGAGTAAATTATGTCAAGTCTCCAAATACATTGTACTAAATAATTAGTTAAAATCATGTCAAGAAAGGAATTTTGCATTTTTTTAAGGAAATGGCCAAAGTTAGTGCTGCCCAAGCTGTTATTGATGTTGCTAATGAGGTAAGTTCTGTATCTTGTGAAACTGATATTTGCAAAGAAGTGATCTCAATGGAATAAGTGAAATTTGCTGAACAACAACATGAAATGTTAGAAATGAATCTTACCATTTAGAAAGAAGAAATCATTGATACACTTGAATCATGCATTGAATTCTTAAATGAAGGTAAATAAAATATTTATTTTTGCAGGTGAAAGATCCCTTGGCACCACTAACTGCCTTCAAGACATTCAAAAGAAATGGGTGAGTTTTATGTGAATATAATATGGAAAATTAGAACATATAAACTTAATCAAATATCAGGGAAGCCAGGGGCTCAGAAAGTATTAATCTGTGTTGCATTGAGAATTAGACATTGGCTAAATGTGACACTGGGTAAGAATCAAGACAGTGACGTGTTATGTAAGCATTACTCCTACGGAAATCGTATAACAGATATCGATATAACAGGGGGTTTATAACTTCCTTACATGCCTGTGTTTTCTCATGATGTACATGCTGATATATTACTCTTCTACTTCCCTTCCAGCCTTCTGGTTGATAAGGGATAAGACAGTGTGGTTTTCATGTGGTTTTTGTAAACTCCAGCTGAACCCAGACACATTTTTCTCTCCACCAACATCACAGACACCACCCCACTTTCTTGTATAGGTGAAAATTAAAGTATGCTTTGGGTGACATCCTGAACTTTTAGAAAATAAAAAAACATTATTTAAAAAGTGTCTTAACTTGTTAGGTTGGATCTCTGCATTGAATGCAAACGACTACAAGACATGCCTACTGAGGATATCAACTGGGCATTTGACCTCACAAAACACAACATGCAATTACTGTAAGTGATTTTTTACAAATCTTGAAACTAAGGTATCTCAGTAATGGGGTTCTATTGATTGAAAAATGTTATCTTTCATACATCGACTAATCATTTTAATTAATTATAAACTACAGTTATGAAAATAGCAGCTGGGGATGGAATGACAAAAAGAAGAAAGAAGAAATGACAGAAGATAAATCACGGTAACTTTATGCAAAGCCCTTGAGTGTTGTTCATAGATACAGCTACCCTAGAATTTGACTGAGTATTCTTTTGGTCTTTAGATATTTGATTGCCAGGGCAGAATCTGGAAAAGCTGTGGGATTCTCACATTTTAGGTTTGACTTGGAGGAAGGAGATGAAGTGCTTTACTGGTGAGTTTAACAATAATTATTTTGATGAAGACTGCCCTAAAAATATCGGTCACTTGCAATAGAGATCACAACATTTTGACGGTATTTTGTCAGTCCTCATAATGCAATAAGGTTGATGAAATACCCACTACCATGCAAACCATTATTGCATCTTGGAAATGCATGATCACAGTTGCTGAATACAAGTCAATTACAGCTGAACATAATGGTTCACAATCCAGTGAAACTTCTTAATTTAAAAATGGCTAACAGTATGCAGGCAAAATGTTCCAATCCACCAGAAGTGATCACATTGAAGCAAAATCATTACAAATGCCAATCTGGTTACTGAAGCAAGCAACAAGTCTTGCTCATTCAGATGATTGCCAACATAAAGTTGGTAATAGGGCTGAAATCTTGTAGAAAATTCATTTTTTATAATGTATTTACATTTCTTTAATATCTGAAGTATGTGTTGATGTAAGTACTGGTAACTTAGTTTTTCTCTTTTTCTCAGCTATGAAATCCAAGTGGAATCTGAGGCAAGGGGCAAAGGACTTGGGAAATTCCTAATGCTGATTTTAGAGATGATGGCTCACAGGTTGGTTTTATTGTATTTTTTAATTTGTTAACTACTTCATCACACTGTTATCAGCTTTAACAGTATTTATTAACTTTCAAGGGTGTTTAGTCGGTATATCACATAGCAGATGTTCATAGCCTGGTTCACTGTGTGGAGGTCTTTGTTTAATTTCTGAACATTTTACCATTTTAGAGCCCAGATGAAGAAAGTCATGCTAACAGTGTTTAAGGGTATGTATACAGGAAATATATATATCTTATTAGACGTTTTGTTGTGTAGTATCGCTGAGTATTTTTACAAGTTGTGTCGTATTTTGACGAGCCCGTAGGGCGAGTCAAAATGCAAATAACGAGTAAAAATACTCAGCGGTACTACACAACAAAACATATAAGTTATTTATTATCCAAAACTGTTGTTTCTGCGGGTGAATTTCACTGATATTTATTTACGGGGAGTGTGTGACAGAAGTATGCAAAGCGCAACGGAATTTGCGCGTTTTTGTGTTGCTGTTTCTATTTTCTTCATTAAATGAAGAAATTTTCTGGTCGTCAAGCTGTTTTTCTTTGTTTGATTCATCAAATGAACTTGGATCTATATTTTGCCAGCTATTCTGACTCTTCGTCATCGGAAATATGATTGAAATTGTCCGCCACTTTTTTTTTTTCCGGAACTACAATCCAATTCTTTGCTTGGGCGATGTGAGAAAACCAGTTTAACCAGTACTGCAATAGACGAGTACAAATACCACGTGATATTGTACTCGTCTATGGCGTTATTCGTACTCGTCTAGGTGTAGTTGGATAATAATTTGAAGTTATTTTTCTCTCAATTAACTTCCATCATGACTTAAACCATATTATTATTATTGATGTATTGTGGAAGAGTGTTCATAACTCTCAACTTAGCCTGGCTATAAATATCATGACTAATGTTCTTTTGTTTTACTTTCCCCCTCCTCCCTTTCTTGGCTTTTGAAACCTGCTAGTCACAGTTTGTTTAAAAGATTTTGCATAGGCAGATCTGGAAAAATGCACCCAGCTACAGAAAGCACAGGAGTTCACTCAATACCTAGTGGGTGTTTTAAGATATTCAAAGTGAATACATGGAACAATTTAAGACTCAGTTGTGACTGACTTGTGGTGTTTTTTATTCCAGAGAATGAGAGAGCGCAAAATTTCTTCATCAAGATTATGAAGTAGGTCAATAGGAATTCTCATTTAAATTTTTTGGAAAAAAGAGAATGTGGTCTGTAGCGAGTGTTCTTTTCATTTGGATCAGGAAAATTGTGATGAAATACACCTGGTATTGGTATATGTATTTGATACCATTGTAAAGGTAACCTTTCTTGCAGCAGCCATGTCAACACTGCAGGGATATTTCATCACTGGATTAGTATGCATTGGTGGAAAAGTTTTGAGTGGCTGGTCAATTTTTATCATAAATAATCAAAGGAATAGCACACATTAAGCTTGCAGCTATTTGATTGCCTAGTACTTAACATTACATACATACATACATATACATATGTTAATTGACCACTCCCCATGGGGGACAACATGGGGCAACATTATTCACTGAAGAGGGGAAGTATGGATAATCTGTAACATATGATATTGTGAAGAGGGGGATAGGACAGTGAGGGAAAGAAACAGACTTGTTTATTTGTTTACATTGTTAGGTTCCAGACAGATGAGACTTCACCAGCCATCTGGGATCCAATGAACTCTGAGGATTATTGTTATGATATCCTGAGCAAAACTTTGGTGAGAAAAGCTTCTACAAACAGTGACATGGGCACCAAAGACACAGCTGCTTAAACCTTCATTAGACTTTTTTATCAACCCCCATCTTCTTATTCTATCGTATCCCCTACTCCCTGTCATCCATTTCCTTTCCTATGCACTTAACTAATTATTGTTAATGTTTATTGAGAAAAGGAAATAATTGCATTCAGATGTCTCTGAGAAGATTATGATGAGTGTAAAAGTGTGAGGAATCCTATTTTAAGTCTCCTAAGTTAGACTCCTCCATTTATAACTTAAGCTTATTTCTACTGCTAATCAGAATGTTTCAGCATGATCACTTAGGTAATTGTAAAAGTGTATGTTCATTAGTTTTATGGAGTATAAATTAGGTTTTAGAGAAACTCTTGCAAGGAAGGCTTAATCAGTTTTGACTCATGGCAAGTGCTCTTAATTATGCTTGCAAGAACACAGACTTATACTATGTAAAATGTAAGTTGAAAAAATTGTTTTCAGTGTATCATGAGTTTGGGAAAAACTTCCCCATGAGAAATCAAACTTCAGACCTAAGGATTCCCCATTTCATCACTCCACCACCAGGCTATCACTAAGTTCCAATTTATCACACATTCTACTTACTACAGCTAAATAGTAATAGAGATAAATAGTTAGAGTAAATTTTTAAATAGTATTAGCAGTTCAGCAGCAATTGAGCTAAAGAGAAAGAGGTGAAATAGCTTTTGCTTATAGCAAAACTTTTAAGAAAATGAAATAAACCAGGCTGATTTGTATTTGTTCTTTTGCTAAGGTGACAACATTTTGTTACAGAATATGTTAACTTTTACCAAAGAGATTACTCTTAACTGATGTGGTGATAACTTAACCAGCATGGTGAAAGTTAATAAAAACTGTTTTGAGACTTTGTTGATCCCACGCTGCAATGGCAGATCTAAGGGCAGAGCTTGGGGGGCCCAGGTCCCCCCTTATTCTGGGTAAAAAAATAAACACAGAAGGAAGACAAACTGGCAGGTGTACTCACACTCACACAACCCCCTCCCCCCCTCCCCCGCCTTAGCTCAAGGTCTAGATCTGCCACTGAGCTGGTATTTTTGAATATTTCTCTTGAATAAACCTATCCACTCTTACCATTTGAGCAGTTTCAAACTCTTGTGATTTTCTAGACATGAAACCACTTGCTCTGTGCAAGGTTATAATGTAATTGCACACCCTGTATAGACAATGCTCAAATGCCTTAGCTTTGATGATATCACCTGTTTGCAATCTGTAGAGTAGCAAATTAACACATTAGCCATTTCCGATTGAAGCCATGAAGTGGGATGCTGAATTTCATTGCTGTGCCTTTTGTTTCTTGTTTGCTATTACTTTTTGAAAATAAGGGGAAAAAATGAGTTAGACTTAACAGCATTGGCTTGTTTCCAGTTGCTTGACAATGTACTCAGTTTGGCTAGATATGATTGAGGGAGTGTGTGCACCAATAACAGTGCAGATCAGGAAAAAAAGGAGTGTTCAAGTAATGGGTAAAAAAATATTGAAATATGTGGGAAAGATGGAGTTGGTACGCTGGAATGAGGTATATAAAACAATTCTTAAGAATCTCATTTCATAAATGCTTCCTGGACAATCCACATGTCCCCAACCACTGTTTAATGTTTTGTCTAAGATTTCCCAGAAAGTTACAAGTCTTGCTGGCCAGATACAGGGATTTCAAATTATTTGCATTTTAGAAAATAGCTGATAGTGCTAATAGCCTATTGGATCTTTAAATGTTATGCATTAGCCAATCAACATATACCAAAAGCAGCACTGTTCCCTTCTGGGGTATCCTTTCTGGTTGTTCCCCAGGCTTGCCCCAGGCTGGATAAAACACGCTTATCTTTTAGAACCTGGTTACCAAGCTGACCCGGGCACGTTTGGCGCGGAAAGGGAATTAGAAACAATAGAAGTTACGTGGAAATTTAGTTTTGCGATGTTATCCAATTCTTTTACGATGTCATCCATAACTAATGGACTAGGGACATCGGTAAGGAAAGCTGTGGGCCCTAAAGCCAAAGTGACAGTTGTTTTAGGAGCACAGTGGGGCGATGAAGGAAAAGGAAAGTTAGTTGACATCTTAGCTACAGATGCCGATCTTGTTTGCCGGTGTCAGGTAATTAAGATTTGTGTTTTTTGGTTAATGTGTTTATAAACAGAGGGGAAGTTGCAGAACTATTTATTGTGTATATTAGAATGATCTCTTAGATGTCAATTAAGGTTAACATGACTACAACTTGCACTCCTACGTGATTTAATTTGCATACATCACGACTCGCTTATGGTTTACTGTTTGTTTGTCGTTAGAGTAAAAAAGATTTGTACTGTACGTGTCGGTCTGTTGCTGGTCTTGCTAGTATCTTGAATTCACACTTAAACTTTTAATCAAACAGCTGTTTTGATTGGTTAAGTCAGGGTTCCTCGAGAGGTTTACTTCACCCTTACCTGACTTATGTCCACTAACTAGTGCTCCTTTTTCTGTTTGGGTAGGCTTGGAGGGGAGATGGTGAGTGAAATCAAGCTGATCTGTTTTTCGAGATCAAACAGAATGGAACATGTTTTTACACATTCATGAATTCCTCTCTCCCTTCTCCCTTCTCCCTTCTCCCTTCTCCCTTCTCCCTTCTCCCTTCTCCCTTGGAGATACACCATTATTAGAAAGGAAATGAGAGATACTCTTCCAATACACAGTACCGTAGTTGAACGTTTTTATTGACTCTTGGTGGAAAAATTAGTTCTTGGCATACACCTGGCTTGAATTGAGCTCAAATGCTGAAGGCTGGGCTTGGCTGCAATATTTTTTTTTCTTGTTTGCATAATAAATTATTGCAAGGGTGAACTTTTAGTTTAATTCTTTCAGTACCTGCTATGAAATTGTAAGCCAACAGAATTTGCGACAAATTAATACAGTAAAAACCCACATACAAGAACATCTGGATTAAGAACACCCAGGCTGAAATTTGGCCTGAAAATTGAAAATGGAAAATTGTTCTTATATATAAAAACTCTTCCCTTGTCAGTTTAATAGAACAAACAGTGTCTGTAGCTTTACTGTGGTATTGCACTAAGATCTCTGTACAAATGCTAGTAATTTCACTTGCTGTGTATAGCAAATGTACAACAACTGTATTTGGAATTAAAAGTCTTATAATTACATGAAAAATATTCTCAGTTGTGCAATTTATTTTCTAATGTTGTGTGTCTCAAGTTTAATTTTCTCTCAAAGTTATGTATTTCATCATAGTTAGTAAATCCCTTACATTTATTTAGAAGTAAAAAATTAAGAACACTTGAGAACACTTTCAGGCTGATTTCATCTAAAATACCCGATATATAAGAGCCAAATCAGCCTGAACCCCGAAAATGGGTGTTCTTGTATGTGGGTTTTTACTGTATAGGGGGTAAGGTTCTGAAGAAACTTTGGTGCTGCATCAGTAGGGTTAATGAGGAAATTTGATTTAATCAACTAAGTTGATAATGTGAATTGGCTACCTTAAAGAGTTTGAAAGCTGATGTCTGGAGTGTTCGCCTTTCATCAGAGTGAATGGAGGAATTGTGGGTTGTGTGTGTGTTTATATGAGGAAAGTGGAGCTACGGTATTGATGGGAACATGGTGACGAGAAAAACAAGAATAAATTAGTAGAATGAAAAGCAGGATTTAGCGTGCCTATTTGAAAGATAAACTTTTGTTCAAGAGTTTTGTGGCTTTCTGAGCTACCTAAATGTAAGGAAAGGCTGCAGACTGTTATATGCTGCTTAGAATGATTAGATAGATTAAAGTGTCTAGCAACTGGTTTTAATGCATCTTTGTCGTTCCATTCTACCTTGCAAAGGTTTCACCAATGTATATCTTTTTGCAATAAGTGCAGGTTATGCAATAGATGACATTGATGGAGGTGCACTTGAAGTGATCAGTAATCTCGAGGGATCATTTGGGTCCTGATATTTTGTCAACATTATGAATGAAAAGACAAGTTTTGCATAGTGCAGTACTTGAAGCTAATGGTTGTTCACTCATAAAAAACGAGTAAAATGTACCATGGGACAAGTGAGAATTACAATTACTCTTACTTTTGGACAAGTATGCAGTTTCTTGTTTTCATCTGGTTTGTATTTTACGAATTTTAAGTCAATAAAAACAACCATTAAATGTGTGCTTTGTCTTTATTTATGAATGTGCAAAGACCCATGCCGTGACACCATTGTGAAAATGGAGATGCACTGGTTTTAGCAAACTTTCTAGCATGCGCAGTAGATAGCAGCAATGCATGGCAGGAAATTGCTTGACATCATGGCTGCTCACCGTTTTTTTTCTAGTTATCCTTTATTTCAAAACTATTTATATTACTGTAGATAGATATTATGGTACTGAGAATTTCATGTCCATCATTTTCCTTGGGAGATAGATGTAACTGTATTCTTCGGAGTGAATGAATCGAAACAATAGATGGGACCAGTTAGATTCCTTCCAGGACTACTGAAAATTTCCTACTACTTGTCTCAGGAAAACCATTTCAAAAAGTTAGTTTTGAGCACTGTAGTGTGCGAGTATATTTGAAAGTTCCGGGTTAGGATGGCATCTCATGTCAAGAATTCCATTCCCTTTTCTCAGTTTGTTAGACTTTGTCGTTCATGTAGTGATGACTCTGATTTTTTCAACAAATCAGAGGCAATCCTGAAAACATGTAATTTACCTCTGCTCTCTGTTTTAGGGTGGAAACATGTAATTTACCTCTGCTCTCTGTTTTAGGGTGGAAACATGTAATTTACCTCTGCTCTCTGTTTTAGGGTGGAAACATGTAATTTACCTCTGCTCTCTGTTTTAGGGTGGAAACATGTAATTTACCTCTGCTCTCTGTTTTAGGGTGGAAACATGTAATTTACCTCTGCTCTCTGATTTAGGGTGGAAACATGTAATTTACCTCTGCTCTCCGTTTTAGGGGGGAAACATGTAATTTACCTCTGCTCTCTGTTTTAGGGTGGAAACATGTAATTTACCTCTGCTCTCCGTTTTAGGGGGGAAACATGTAATTTACCTCTGCTCTCTGTTTTAGGGTGGAAACATGTAATTTACCTCTGCTCTCCGTTTTAGGGGGGAAACATGTAATTTACCTCTGCTCTCTGTTTTAGGGTGGAAACATGTAATTTACCTCTGCTCTCTGATTTAGGGTGGAAACATGTAATTTACCTCTGCTCTCTGATTTAGGGTGGAAACATGTAATTTACCTCTGCTCTCTGTTTTAGGGTGGAAACATGTAATTTACCTCTGCTCTCTGTTTTAGGGTGGAAACATGTAATTTACCTCTGCTCTCTGTTTTAGGGTGGAAACATGTAATTTACCTCTGCTCTCTGTTTTAGGGTGGAAACATGTAATTTACCTCTGCTCTCTGTTTTAGGGTGGAAACATGTAATTTACCTCTGCTCTCTGTTTTAGGGTGGAAACATGTAATTTACCTCTGCTCTCTGTTTTAGGGTGGAAACAATGCTGGTCATACAGTTGTGGTTGACTCAAAAGAATATTTCTTTCATATGGTTCCAAGGTAAGAACTCTTAAGTATAATAACCAAATTTAAATTTTTTATATTAGCTGAAATTTTTCAAAGTTTGTTTTTACATTTTTGTCATTCTTTGTTAATCATACAATAAATAACCGTCTTTGGTGGTTTCAGTGGATTGATTCAACCAAAAGCAGTCAGTGTTATTGGTGAGCAATTTTGGTTTTTGCAGATTATATCGCTTACTGGTATATTGGAATTACATGATCATTATACAAAGTCTTTTCCATTAATTTGATCTGGTACATGTATGTGGTTGTTGCAAATATCTTTTTCTTTCTTTTTCTGTTAGGAAATGGTGTTGTGATGCACATTCCACAGTTCTTTGAAGAGTTGAAAGCACTTGAAGCTAAAGGTGACCCTTTTTATTCAACTTTCCCAAACTCTGTTAATGATTGTGTCATTATTATTATTATTATTGTTATTATTGTTGTTATTGTTATTGTTATTATTATTATTATTATTATTATTATTATTATTATTATTGTTTACAGTGCTATTATTTGCTTCTTTCAGTCTCCTAGAACCAGGGCCATTCCTTGGTCCTGGGGTGCCAGGGAACTCTTTTATTTGATGGAGAGAAACCTTCTCAGTATGTGCACCGTTCCAAGGAGGATGATCTTTTGCAGCTCATTAATGTTACTGGCTGCAGGGATCTTTCCTAAGTTCTGTTCCATTCCCTCTCTAATAAGTCCTAGTGCACCAACAATAACCAGCACAGTGTCTATTCTCATTCCCCACATTGTTGCGATTTCAATCTCAAGATCTTTGTATTTTGAAAGCTTCTCAATGACTTTCGTTGAGGTGTTTCTGTTTTTATTGTTATTATCACAGAGAATTCAACTGAATGCTACATTCTAATCAAGCAACACAGGGTGAAAACCGTAACCTGTGAGCCATGGAGTAAAAAATAAATGTACGTTAACTAACCCTAAAGAGCTCTTACGTTGTGTATATGGTCCTTCTTCTAACAGGAACTCAAACTGCCACCTTGAAAGTCCGGGCAATATTCAACGTGCCCGAGAGCACTGCCCTCTGCATCTTTCGCAGTACGTCTGTGTTTCTGCCTCCCACCAGCTCGCGCATCATGACATCCAGCTCCCGTGACCACCCCCCGAGGACATCCATTATGATGTTATATTGTTTCACCTCGTAGCCTGGGAACTGCTGCCTTAGTTCCCAGCGAAGGGGTTTATACTTAAGTGTCTTCTCTTCATCCTTTCTTGTCTGATTGTTAACCCATGGGCAGCTCATTTCCAGCGTCACAACTCTCTTGCACATATGATTTACAATGCGTGCATCCACCCTATTGCATCTGACCTCTTGTTGATCAGCCTATATAGGGACATCCCAATAAGCTTTAACATTCTCTGACTCATACACTGGCTTGGGCTTGTCGGGTGAGTACCAGGGTGGTATCTCCTCTATAAGTCCCTCATCATACAACAGTTCGTAAAACAGTACCTTCAGTGCTGCGTCATGTCTAGAGAGGTACTTGCTCTGGGCCAGCGCACTACATCCTGACAAGATATGAGCCACGCTCTCTGGAGCCTTACCACATAGTGTGCACCTCACCTCACCTTCCCTGCTTTTGTGGGTCTTCTGACTCATGTATACTCGCGTTGGCAAGAACTGCTCTTATAGCTCGACGAGTCCAGCAATTGTGTGTGATGGGCAGTTCTTCCACTCTGTGAGCCACCAGAAACACCCATCGGCACTCAAACTCTCATCCTCTAGCCTGGTAGTCACTAGATGTCCTTGCCATCGTTGGTTTCTGATCTCATCCTCTAACTTCTCAATTTGGCACCTCCGCACCGCCTCCTTAATCCCTTGCGCGTGTTCCAAATCCAACTCCAGCCCCAACTCCTCTGCGCACTTAGCCACTTCTTTAAAAATGGACCTACACCCCATCTTTATTATTATTATTATTATTATTATTATTATTTTTATTATCTACATCTGCACTCATAATTTTTAGGTCTTTATTATTTTAACAGTTTTTCCTATTTAGTATTATACTAAATTTTTTCTTTTCTCATATATTGTAATCAGTCCTCTATCGTGAACATTAATATTAATTCTTTTAAAAATTTGTAAATAATTAGATATATTGTTTAGAATTATAAATAATTGCTATCATTATTATTAAACGAAGTGGGCCAATTTTTATTATTATTATTATTATTATTATTATTATAGCACTTTAGTAATGGTTACAGGAAACTTCTCTTAATTGTAGAGGTTTTTTATTTCATTCTCTATGTACTGCTTCAGGGCTGATTTTCATGAAATGACTTTGATGTTCAGTTTATCTATAAAGACCATAAAGTGATCACATGAGAGGGGTGGTTAGGGGGGTCCTGCGCACAATTCGCACTTCATGGTAAACAACATGATAGTGAAAGAAGATCTTGTGTTTTTGAAAACCATAACATTGTGAATTTCTTCCCCATTTCATGCCAAGCATCAGTTCCAATGTTTTTCTTCACACAATGGCACCTTTTTGTGAGAAGAAGATCAAAGAACTAAACTGATTCATACCCTTATTGATTGTCAGTCAAGGTCTAAAATAAGTAGGTCATGTTAAGAATGCCCCAAGTGTTTCACATTGTTTGGTAGACAAAATTCTTTAGTGAGTAATTTTTCACAGAAAAATCTGCATTTTCTTATCACTTATCATGGATAACAGAAAATCAAATCCTCATTTCATGTATCATGACTGGCATAATGTTCACAGTTCATGGCTTTTAAACCTTTTACAATCACAAGTCGCAGCAATTAAAACAGCTGATCACGTTTCACAGAAAACCACCTTACAGCCCTCACATAAGTTATGAAGTCAATAGCATGATACTATCAATTATTAACAAATTAGCAATATTAACAAATCAAATTAATCAAATTGAATTTATGGCTTTGCAGGGGTTACAGATTGGGAGAAAAGACTTCTTGTCTCTGACAGAGCTCATATAGGTGAGGAAAGGGTTAATTTGATTTTTGTAATGTATTACCGTAATTTCCAGCCGTTTACCCGCACAGCCAATTACCCACACCAGCCGATTATTGCATGCAGCAAAAAAAAGTCAACAGATTACCCGCACTGGTGGATAACCCACACCTTAAAAGGAAAGGAAATTTGTACAAAATACTCTGCAAATTTGTGGCCACATTTTGTTTGAACGATCGTTCAGTGCCATGTTGATTTGTTGATTTCTCAAAAAAAATCGATATCTCTGGTTCTACTGGGCCTAACAAGTCCCTTAAAATGGGAAAATTCTTTTCAGCGGAGGCTAGTGTTCACTGGAAATTTGTTACTGATGCGCCGGTTATCCTTGGTTTATATTTGTTAATCAAGGTTTTGTTTACATACATGTCGATAGTAATTCGTAACGCAACTAATTGTGCATGAAATAAACTCAAGTTGGCATCATGTTTTCGTGCCACTTTGTGGCACTTTTAATACAATAAAATTCATCTGAGAAGTGGAAATACAGGTAGGTGAGAATTTTTTTCAATTCAACTGCCAGTAGATTTCAAAACTGTCACATAACCGGCACCTCCCTATTACCCACAGTGGCGCGTGTTTAAGGCAAATTCAACAGATTACCCACAGGTAAACAGCCGGAAATTACGGTAATGGTTTTGAGAAGAACATCTCAGTGTAGTTTTATTATCTAGTAATTTAATACATCACAGTGATCTTAGATAGTGTCAACTAACTGATTCATGAATGATGTTTTCCTTTTAGTGTTTGACTTACACCAGGAATCTGACAAACTACGTGAAGGTGGAAAGGGAGGGTGAGTAAGATTTTAGACTGTCCTTCAGTATCTCTATAATAATGAAAAGTATTCTATTTGTGGTGGAATGATCTCATCTTATGTACATATGACGGCATGAATGTAAATATACATTTATTTACAGTCTCTGGTGTAGTGTTTATTGGACATCTCTGGTGAGTAAAGTTGTAAACTTTTGTCTTCTGTTAGGTTGGGGACCACAAAGAAGGGAATTGGACCAACCTATGCTTCTAAGGTAGTGTTGCTCACATTGCTTGGAGGAAGAAATCTTGCAATAAATCTAGAGGAGAGCTTTGTTAACATTATTAATATTAAATTAAATACTCTCATAAGTAAATACTTCTTATTGTGGCTCTCTTCCCAAAGTTTTGCTTTTTAAAACTCATACAACCATTGCACTTTTCTCATCTTGGCGATTGCCTTACTCTGGTTGCAAACACATTTTTAATTACTAAAGGTGACTGCATGTTGGAGCTTAACGTCTCTTGTGGTTGACATGACTCCACTTTATGAGAGTCATGTCAAAATCTTCATTTTGTACTCTTTAATAAATGTTAATTTTACTGCGATTATGTTTACAGGCACAAAGGATTGGCCTCAGAATCTGTGACCTAGTTGGAGACTTTGAGGTTTTTGAGAAAAGGTGAGAAGCCCTCCTGTGGTAAAGAGTGCTTTGGTTAGCACTAGCCATGCCAAATTAATTTTAATTATTTTGATATCTTGTGAATTCTTTGTTGTAATAGATTCCGAGGACTGGTGTCACATTTTCAGAGGCTGTAAGTATTGAAATAGACAAGTGTTTTGCCTACTGTTTATATTTAAACTGAAAGTTTATTTGTGTATGTTTTTTCTGTACTAACCCAACCCAAGAGCATTGTGGTAACTCTTAACCTTGATTGAATCAGAGCTGTTAGAATTACCAAAATATCTGGTCAGTTTTAAAAAAGCCCTCTGTTGGAGTACATGTAAGTACTCTTTGTACGTAATACTCTTTATATGTATAAACATTATACTGTACATTGTGCTCTTTCTTAGATATCCAGGTCTTAGTACAAACATTGAGGAAGAGATAACAAAGTACAAGGTAACAATGTTAAGGGAATTTCAGAATTTATGCTGTTATACTTCAGTAACCCTGGACATGTTTGTGTAACTAATTGTTACTTGTAACAAACAATATTAAGAGTTTACTTAAATGTTTGGGATAGTTATTGTTGATAATTTTTTTAATGTTCACAGTTAACTTTTTTGGTGTTAATTTAATTGTAGCACTATGCAGAAAAGATACGTCCTTTGGTTTGTGACACAGTAAGCTACATGAACAAAGCACTTCAGAATGAATCAGCAAAAATTGTTGTAGAGGGAGCAAATGCACTCATGCTGGATATTGACTTTGGTAATTTGTAATTCATCATTGTTGCTTTTTTAAATAAACATTTGGACATGATTTTTGTAAGGAATTATGTCAATTGAACCAATTTTTCAATACATTGATTGTATCACAAAACCACAGTTTGTAGATGTGATGTCTATTCTGGCCATTTGTGTGTTAGCCCTCTGTAAAGCGTTTTCAACCCCCCCTCCCATTTGAGCTATATTTTTGCTAAATGTATCTATGTTTACATGCCCAGATATGATCCAAACATGATCCTGCATGATTAATCATTTGCTGTGAGATGAATAAAGAAAACTCCCTGTTTGTAATACTGACTACTTGATGACCTATCTACCCTGCATTAATTATCTAAAGATAAGTAAATTCTGAAATAGAGAGCTATCATGATAAAGCCTCTCAATTGTGGAAGCTCTAATCGTATTGAATTGGCATTTGCTAAGCAATAGTGTTTTTTTTCCTCAGGTACATATCCATTTGTCACATCTTCTAACTGTGCCGTGGGTGCAGTATGCACAGGTCTTGGCATTCCACCCACTGCAGTTGGCAATGTGCATGGTGTTACCAAAGCTTACACCACAAGGGTTGGTCTTGGAGGATTCCCAACAGAGCTTAAAAATGTAACTTGTTTCTTTTTGCTTCAACAACATGCGATCTCTTTATTTTGCATCACAAATTAATGTAACAGAAGCTGGCTTAAGAAACTTCTGCGAATTTTTGTTCTTGACAAAAAACGCAGTTCTTCTGTAAGATTATAACTTTATTGTGATCTGAATGTGTAGCCAAGCAGATATAGATGTCAGATTTAAATTCACAGTGCTGTAGGTTTACCAAATGAAGAGTTTTAAAGACTACCACTTTCTTTATTGCTGTACATCTATTAAACCTTAAATCTTTGGCTGATCAAATACATTTTTCAGGAACTTGGAGATAAGATGCAGCAGATAGGAAGGGAATTTGGTGTAACAACAGGCAGAAAGCGTCGCTGTGGATGGCTTGATCTTGTAATGATCAAATACTCTCACATGATCAACAATTTTACAAGGTACAATATAATAACCAGTTCATGATTACTAAAAGTAATATACCATCACAATCCCATTCATTTTCCCTCCTTTTTTAGTTTTTGTTGTGATGTTTGTCAAACTTCAAAATCTCCTGATAGTCATTTTTTGGGGTAATTTGTATGTGTCATGCATTTCTATTTGTTACGGGAGATAATGTATTTTAAACATTCTTTTAAAATGAAGATTTAGAGTTCATAGCTATTACTTTGAACTGTACTGGAAGACTGAAATTTTTGGCATATCTAGCTTCCATTTTATGGGACATTTTTACTAATTATGAATGAGTAAAAGTGGGCTAAACTGGGAGCTTGCAACGGGATGTTGAGACAGATTAAGTAGAAAATTTTGGGCATGTTTTTCATATGACCATTTACAAATCAAAAAACATTTTTATGCTTAAATTTCTATAACTTGTGGTTAACACGGTTCATATTTCACAGCCTTGTGATTGCCAAGCTTGATGTTTTGGACACTTTTGAGGAGGTGAAAATTGGGATAGCATACAAGCACAAAGGACAATTGATGGAATCCTTCCCAGGTATGATTACTGGTCTTGTTGCCTTTTGTCCATCAATTATTAGTTTGAATGATAAAATAAAGTTTCACTTTGACATGCATAAGTATGGAATGTTTTTGTTGACTCTGATGTTGGTTGCAGCTTGTGTGGAAGTCTTGGATGAAGTTGAAGTGGAATACATAACCCTACCAGGCTGGTTGACCAGTATTGAACATTGTAGAACGTTCAATGAGTTACCAGCTAATGCACAAGCTTATATTAGGAAAATTGAACAAATTACACAAATTCCAGGTGAGATTTAGACTTTGTTAAACTTGAATAAATATAGCCATGATTTGTGAAATATAACTTGGAGTTACTTGACTGAAAGTAGAATCACTGATGGGGTGAGGTTTTAAAATCGGAAATGAACATCCCCAAAATGCTGGTTATCAGGCGGTGAAATCATAGAATATTGGTTTTAAAGTTTTCTAGAATGTTATTTCTTTATACTTTGGTGCAAGGTTCAAGCTGAAAATATTAAAGTTTTGGAGTCCATGGTAATAGGTATGTTAATTGCATGCTAACATTGTGTGTTTCTTTGTTGCAGTTCAATGGGTTGGAGTCGGGAAATCCAGAGATGCCATGGTGTCTCTGTTTTAGAGAAATGAAGCAATCATTACGCACAGAGAAGCTCACAAAAATGATCTTGAATCTATTTGTGGATGTCATTGTGTTACCGTGTAATGGTATTGTAATTGTATACGCAGAATATGCAATAATAAGAATTCCACCCATACTCGATTTAAGGAGATTTCAAGGGTAAATAACAAACAAACAAACAGAGCCTTATTTTATGTCAGGTAATGGTTTTGTTGATAGAATCCCACGCGTGACCAGATGGACACTAAGCTGGTTGCACAATATATAGTATTGTTTGTAAAAATTTTGCAAAGAAGAAGCTTTTGAACCAGTACATTTGTGGTAAATGAAGGTGATATCACTCATGACATAATAAAATGGCCCTGCTGAATTAAAAAAAAAAAAAAAAAAAGCTTCTTATGAAAATAAAACATCAGGGGGAATGTGAGAGTTGTGGATATATTTATTTTAAAGCCGTAAAAAAAAATTGTTCCATCGACAGTGAATCATTTCCTGGCACCTTATGAGAATTTTGTATACCTAGTGTATTTGTAGCTTTGACCTAACTATTCTGTAAGTTTCCAGAAATGTTTGTTTTAGTAAATGCGAGTAGTAAACAATCTGTTGGTCTATTTATCGTAAAGTTTCGTTCCCCAGCATACGGATCGTACTGCAGGTTATCAACGGCTCCCTAAACATGACTTGTTCAGTTACACTTCCAACCCCCCTTTCTCTCTCTGATAACACTTCCTGTCTGTCTCAAGACTCGGGATGGGAGTGATGAAGCACAACACAATGCAGGAAAGAATAAATCTGCCGACATGAAGCCAAAATTCCACCACTTTATTATGATATGTATTTGGTGAAATAAAAAAACAATACGTTCCGTAGTAGAATTGTTAGGCCTGGAACACAAACACGGAAGCAAACTTACTCGCTTGCTATGGTATGACACTTCATCGCGAACACTCGATCTTTTAAACTCAAGCACTTTGATTTTCTCATTACCCCTATGCGTGCCTGCAAACAAATAGTTATTTTTATAGTGGAATTTCAAGTTGGATGCACTTATTACGTTATATCAGCCTCAGTAAAAATGTAGTTTTCTCGCTTGCCACGTGAATTAAAAATTAATTAACTTGATCCAGTCTTCTTCTGTATCAAACAAAGCAAAGACTTTCGACAGATGTTAAGCAAGGTTCCTCCCCTTCGGCAAAGTCACAGAGAAGGCACACAAGTCCATTGAGTTCCTAGCCGCTCTAACGAAAGTTCGCTACCGTAGATCGCTGTAGTAGCCACGAGACATGTTCAACTCGAAACCTAACGAAGATTTGTTCACCGGCAGCGAACAGTCTCAACATCTGTCTGTTTGACACAGTTAGCCCAGCTCCAAACGGGCAAGGTGAACTGTGAGGTTGGGCTGAGCTACGCAGTGACAACTTCCGTTCCTTCCACCTTTTCAAGATCTTTACTGTAACGCTCTGCAGAACATACAAGAGGATAAATTAACCAAAACATCTTCAACCTCGTAAAATTAGAGTAAGCACACAATATTTGTACTTTTAAAATATTTTCTTCTTAGGGGACTTGAAGAGCACTGTTCAAACTATGTTCTTCACCGCAGACTTTGTCTGATCTTGTCACGCAATCCTTTCTCCTCCCCGCACGAGAAAAGCATTACGCGACGTTACGAAAGAGACCGTATACGTTTCTTCCCTGGAACGCTGGATACGATAATTAGGGATAATTAGTCATTAGGGAGTGATAAACGCGAGCAAAATCTTCAAACAGAAACTGTAATCTTTGCTCAGTGTCACGGGTTTCCCCAACTTCTTCGGGTTTAGAGATGGCCATCCCATAATGTCACATGCTTCAATGATGTTTGAGTGCTGGCACAAGAAGTAAAGGCTTTTTAATGACCTTCCCGGGAGAAACAAACATGTGGAAGAACAAACAATGAGTTTTTTCTTACTTCCTTTAGATTTTCCCTCCTTTCTGTAACTCTGTATCCGAAATGTCATTTGGAGGGACTTCGTAAAAGCATCGTCCAAAAATGGACTATCTAATCATGAGCTCTATCTAACAACTAATGAAGCTCTAAAAGTATGTTAAACACCTACCAGAAAATCCTACAAATGCACAGCCCCAGGCTATACTCCAGAACCAGCCAATCATGAGGAAGACAATTGTTGCCAGCTGCATGATACCCACAAAACAATTGACGAACAGAATGGAAGTACGGCTCATCAGTGGCATGTCTCTCCGAGTCAGGAAGAAAGCGATCAGACCAGATAAGACCGTCCCTGTAAAGAAAACACAAAGTCAAATCAGAATATTTCATCACTGACCCACTAGTCATGCTGTCATTCAGACTTTGACAAATCTGCTGAAGAACGCAATTTGTGCTTACTCCAACGTTAAACCTTAACTTCTCAAAGTTTATTTTTGCAATTTTTGTCAGTTGTTTGCATATTTGTGGCTGTTTGTCTACCCTGGCAAACTTTTTTTTCGAGGTTTCTCGTATTCTAACGCCATATTATATACTAAGCATTATTATAACGTAACCTGTATTAACAATTCTTTTTTAACGAGTGGCAGTGGGAGTAAAGTAAAGTAAAGCTTTATTCACACAGGGTAGCCCATTCAGCTCTAAGGCTGGCATCCATAGGGGCCTTGTTTCTTAAAAATAATTTACATCAAGATTTTCAATTATATATCTATATATAACTGCAGACAGTGCACACTGTTTCGACCTATATGGGTCTCATCAGTGCAGTGCAGACACTGGGCCAAGCTCTGGAATAAACCATTGCCTGGGTGCTACACTTGTGGGAAGGTTACTCTTCTTTATTTATAGCCTTTTTATTTGTAAATCTGGCTTTTCGTACTGCGTAAAACGGTAAACCTCAAAGATACTCTCAACACTCGCAATTCTATTTTATATTGGTTCTGATGTTAGCCTTCGATGGGATAGTAAGGATAGTAGTTGATTTTAAAGTACACATGTAGCCCAAGCACATAATCATGAATAAATGTGACTTCGCTCAAAGTTGCTTCCTTTTAATATGTTACTTTTAAGGACTTCATTACTAACACCCTCTTTCAACGCAAAAAAAAGTATGGCTTGGCTTTATCGTATTGCTTCAGACATCATTACGAATAATCCTCACCCTATGTTATGTACTTATATATTGTCCTGTAGTACTGAAAAGTAACATCGGGTGAGGTAGCATAGAGTCCTTCA